ACTGATCTCACACCCTCTTCCAGGGCTCATGCTTCCTTCCTGCCCTTATTGTGCTTGCACAGTGTCAACTCGTGCCACAGCAGGCAGCTTAGAGTGCCACCTCCACGTGCACATCCGCCTCTCAGGATCATAATGCCAGAACTTGTTCACCATGAACCGATTCTTCTTAGCATCCTTCCCAGCAATCCAGTTGTTGTGCAGGATGGCGCATCCATTCTTCAGGCAGTTCCCAAGCACGTCCTCATGGTCCCAGTAGTTGTGAACCGCACCATTCGGGTACACCTTGCGGTCGAGGAAAATGGTCCGCAGCCCGTTCTGCCACCGGCACTCCTCCTTCCCAGCCACCAGGTTCTCTCCCTTCACTCCGCACAGAATATCATAAAAGCTCGGCTGCTCGGATAGCTTAGTTGTGGCGGCGTGCGCTGTGATCGCCTCAAAAGCCTCTATGGTCTTGGGATCGGACCTAGCAAAGTAGAACCCTGAGTTGATCCGACGAATCCCCGTGCCTGGGATGGACCCGTTGGGCTCGTTGCTCTGGATCGGGAAGGTGCCCGGGCCATAGCTCATGAGGTCCGGGAGAGGGTCGGAGAACCAGACGATGTCGACGTCGGTCCAGAGCACGGAGTAGCCCTGCTTGAGCACCTTGAGCACGGAGCGAGACTTGAGCTTGGTGAACTGCCGGAAGCACTGGCTGCCGAACACACAGTCCTTGGAGTTGAGGCCCTGGTACCCCACGCTCACCTGCACGGATGGAAGGGAGGGGAGGAGAGGGAAGGAGCAATGGGGGTTAGGGAAAAGGAAGGAGGGAAACGAGGTGGCGATAGGCAGATGGATGGCTTGTACAACATAAGGTAGGGTAGAAGGGAGAGAAGACAGAGAGGGGGTGGATCTGGGCCGCATTTTGCGCTCACCTGTTCGTGGTACACAGCAAGCCCCTGCGCGAAGGCGAATCGGTACAAGTCCTCGTCGAGCGCGGCAATCACGAGGTTGTCCGCCAGACCCAGCCCGCGCAGGCGGCACACGAAGCTCATGAGCATCTCCGCATACCCCATGGTCACCGCCACGAGGATCACCACCTTCAGGCCCCCCACCTCGCGCGCCACCTGCGGAAGCAGCTGCGCCGCCGTGTGCGGCAGCCCCACCGCGGATCCCGGCGTGGGAACGGCCTGGATTGAGTAATCCGCTTTCTTATCGACGGACACGCTGCCGCAGGTCCATCTGCGGCCGGAGGGATCGATCTTGGGATCCGATTGGCTGATATCGACGAAGTTGGAGTATTCGCACTGGCAAGTCGCAGGGCGGAGGCGGCGCTGCAGGCACATGTTGTTGACAGCTGGCTCGAAGCAGGAAGACATTTTCCACGGCACGTGCAGCGCGGTCCCGAGCTGGTTGGAATACGAGCCGTAGGTTTGCGCGAGGTGGATGTTTGCGAAGAGCTCCCAGCTGCTCTTCTTCCGCGTGCTCCAGAAGTTCTTCCCCGCAAGCGCAGCCGCGCCGTTCTTCGTCTCCGCGGACTCCGTCACGTGCGCGTAGGAGTGCGCAACGTGGATGGACGTCACCGCGTCGCTCGCGTCGACGACTTCGCGGAGACCCGATGCGACGATCTCGTGCGTGAACCAGTTGTCGTACTTGCCGCGCCCGAACGCGAACGGCGGCATGATTCCCGTGTGCAGCTGCACTGGGGAGTTATTCCACACCCAGAAATCCACCCCGCCGTACGTATGCAGCGACCCCTTGGTCCGCGCGTACTCCGCGATCTCCTTCTCAAGCGCGGCGGGGCCGCGGCTGCGCGCATTCGCCCACATGGAGGGGAAGAAGGTGTAGGGGAAGTCTTCCGCCACGTCCCACCGCGCCGCGGTCATCACCCAATGCGGGAACGTCTTGTGAACCTTGTTGATTGCATCGAGGGCGTTGTTAAGGAGGATGATATCACCGTTGATGATCATCGACAGATCCGTGTCCGCGGCTTGCGCGCGCGCCACGATGCTGTGAAACTGCGGCAGGCCGTAGTAGTTGGTATCTATGGCGGACTCGACGGAAACCTGCTTCGGGAAGCGACGCGCGAGCTCAGTGAAAGTCGAGTCGTTACCCAGGAGCACGATCTTAGGCGAAGGCGTGAGGCGCAGCCAGGAGCGCAGCGCGCGGAGCTGGTTGTCCGGCTGCGGGTCCTTGGGATCGAGAATCGACGAGTAGGGCTTCGGCGCGCAGAAAATGGTGAGCGACGGCGCAGCCGCTACCGGCGTGTCTTTCGCAGCGGGCGAAGAGACGAGGCTGCCGAAAATGCTGCTGAAGGAGCGGGCTTTGCTGGGGCTTTTGGCGCGCTTGCTGGCAGCCGCTGCGATCATCTCTGCTTCGGCTAGCTTTTGCTTTTTCGCAAACGCGGATTTTCCGTTTGACCAAGACGACTTTGAGTTCGGCGAATTGCGCTTGAAGAGGGTAACCCGGCTCTGCTTCGCGACGAGGACGCCATCCTCGTTGGTCGAGACTCCCGAGAAGGTGAGCCGCTGCTCGCAGGAAGCGAGAGACGCGGCGGAGATCAGGAGGAGGAGCGCCGTGAGCGAGGCTCTTGCAGGTGGCATTTGCCAATGCCGCAAAACGGTCGACATGCTGATCCTACGCGCGAGATCCTTATGACAAAGAAAAGGCACAACCTTGCAGGGAGAAAGATAGTTCGTGCGCTGAGTCACAAGTACTGGAATGAATAGAAATACTGGGTCGAGCGCTGAGCAGGGAAATGCCGAATGGTTTCTGCTGAATAAAATCTCTAAATGCTTGTAGTTCGACCTCTTCCGCCTTGTAGTAGCCGTAAATGATTTGAGATGCCAAGACTGAAGGTCCTGATTGTGTATATACCACTAGTGAGCATGCACACAGGTTTAGTTGCCGAGTGGGCTGGATTTGGGTGACAACTGATTGATGAGGTCAGCATGGAGCTTTCCCCGCCATTGGCTAGTTGTTGGGAGTGAGGGGGGGAGCTTGCCCCCAATGTGAGGAAGACATGCGGCGCGGGAATACGCATGCGCGACGCGGGACCGTGAACACCCTGGTTAGCTGTCTGGGGACGCCTGGTGGCCCGAGGGGGGGAAGGATATGGTCTCGTTGGACTATCTACGGCTGTTATGCTGGGGACTGCAAAATTCACGGCTTCGATTTTCTCTAAGAAGGATGCCGTGAGGCGCTTCGGAGAGTATGGGAACAGGCACAGCCACGCTTCTTGTATACCTGTGCCGACATGTGTGCGCGAGTGGGGTGTGGCTGTGACCGACAAGCTAGACGACTACCTCGCGAAGGGAGGAGAAATTCCACCGCCCATACGTCCGCGAGCGGTCGAAGCTGGCTTCACGAAAGGTAAATTCATTTCGCTGTTGGAAGGCGAAGGAACTGACGGTCTACGGTGCCGGCGAGAATTCATGTTCCGTTGGTTTCATGGAGTATGGCGAGGTTACAATTGTCAGGTGAGAAAGCTTGGCTGTGCGAACAACTGGGATCACATGACAGGGAGGACTTGGAAGAAACGCTTTACAAGGAATATCAGTAATGGATTTAGAGGGATCAACTTTCCAGGTTGAAGAAGTGAATATAAAATTGCTGTAATATGTTAACTAGTCATATGCGCAATTTATTGCTAGCAAAATACTAGATGTAGAACATGCTCTCTTCATGAGCGGATTCTTAAGGCGAATAGCCACCACCACGACTTCCTGATCAGCTTGACAAAGCGCATCAAAGATAACCTAACGTACGAAGGAACCTCATACCAGGCCCTCAGATTCACTTTTAGGCACGTAAGGGTATCAGGGTCCCTAAGCCTAGAATCCCTGATCGTCAGGGTCGCCTATAAAAAAAGCCTGAAATTTCAGTGTTACAAAAAAAAAAGTCTGACGCGTTAGTGTTCACATGGACCACAATCCCTCGTTGCGCAGCGTGCCAGCATCGCTGTGCTGCAACCTTGTACCGTCATACCCCGGATATACCCCCATGGGGGGGACTAATAAAACAGGTTTTTTTCAGGGGGGTGGGCTTATAATCTAGTACATTTATAAGCGCCGGCATTTATAAAATGACATACATGTTTTTTAAAGTTTTTAACACCCAACTGTAGATCTCGTGCTTGCTTTTTCAATCGAGTCGAAGTTACATGGGATCGTCTGTGCTTTTTCTCGCGCGCGCTGGGAGATACACTCAATCTGACTCACATTCAGGTCCTGACAGCTCCTGCTGACTGGATCCGCATCCAGTGCAGGCTCCGAATGTGAAGGGAAGCGAAACTGCAACACATCCCCCTGCTAAAGTCAAAATCGTTACAGTGTTTTGCACACATTTTGAAATTTAAAGTTTACGTGCGCTTATAATAAAACAAGTTTTTTTCAGGGGGTGCGCTTATAATCTAGCACCGGATATAAGCGCCACACGCCAATTAAAAGCGCCAGGCGCTTATCCGCGGGTGGCGCTTATATCCGGGGTATGACGATACTGTACAGTAATTGGTCGAATCTGGAAATGCTGCAAAAGTGGCCAATCATCGCACCAGGCGCGCCGACAAAGCAACCCTCACTAAGGGCAAGTTTGTCTGGTACTCACAGCCACGCCCTGCTGACACCGCGGGAATCTGATATTCCCCGTACTGCAGGGCAACTACACTCGGACCATGTAGTGGAATCAGTGTCACTAAAAAAAAATTGCTGAAAGTTCAGAGTCTTGTTGCAAGTACAGGCTGAAAAATCAGCCCCACAAAAAGCTGAACACTGGAAAATCAGTGTAGCTAGAAAAAAATCCCTGGAAATCAGGAATTTCAGGGAAAAATTCCTGATATCGTAGGGCCTGCCTCATACAATGGTCAGACACAGAAAAAGGAGTTGTGAGTGAATGATCTAAGTAGAATACAAACATCACTCCCTAGTCCTTGCTGATGCAATAACTTGATATGCTCAAATAGCACTAGAACTTGTTACAGGAAATAACATTGGTGCTCTTAAAAACACTACTCTACACAAGAACCATCAGCTGCATAACTCCATGCTACCTTCCCCTTCTCTGGGTCCCTCCTCGACCTTGCCTGCCTCCCCCACGCCCCGCTCCACCACTTCTACCCCGCGCCCCACTATCCCTAGCCTCATCATCCCCAATTCCTCTCCTCGATCGTCCAGCATCCCGCCTCCCTCCACCCCGCTGTGGCCCTCCACCCATCGCTCTTCTCCTCCTCCTCGCCTCAACCTCTCTCGCCCTTTTAGCCATCTCCTCCTCTCGTGCCAGCTTAGTGAGGCTTGGCCGATACAGCAGTGCTGTGCGCCCGATCAAACCCACCACTTGTGCGGCTAGTTTCTCCTCCAGGATCTGTCCCACCTCCCATGCCTCATCCGGGCAGTTGTCAGAAATTTTTATCTGACCAGGACATGGGGAAAGGGCGAGGGAGTACAATTGGGAACTTTGTAAACCTTGCCAGCCGGGTGAGGAAAGAGAGCTACAGAGATTGACAACAGATTTAGACACAAAGGGGTGGAAAAAATATCGAAATTGAGGGGCCTACTATCCAGGACATTAGTGATTGTAACCCTCTCACCTTGAGCAATTCGTGCTTCTCCAGGCCGTCATGCAAGGAGGTGATGACTGTAGACGTCACTCCCCACTTGCCAATCTGCATGCCATCGAGCCATGCCATACCATGGCATGCGCACACAGGCAAGGGGAATGCAGGCACGCCAAACACACGCAGGGAACGTGGGCAAGCCAAACACAAGCGGGGAACATGGGCAACGCAAGGGCAAGCAAGGCGAGGTAAGGTCAGGCAAGTCAGCTCAAATGAGGCAACTCCCTGGTGGGAACCCTGTGCAGTTGGCTGGTATTCTGATTGCTGTCAGGTCAATCACAAGGCAACCTCCACATTCACCACCCCCAGCCACTCTCACGACTGTCTCTACCTCCAACCTGTGTCCTCAACGCTGCCTGTAACATTCTTGTAAAACCCCAATCCTGAACGTCATCCTATCCCTCACCCTTACCCTAACCCTTAACCTGACATGACCATTTCCGTCTAACCCTGAACCCTCCATAAACCCTTGGGTTGCAGAGAAACAGAAACCCTACTTCACTTGAAGGTCACACCCGAGGGAGGTCTCACCTGGTGCGTGCTTATCCGGTTGCCCATGCGGTGCGCATACGCGCGGAGCTCCTTCCGCTCCGCATTCCCCAGCTTCCCCCCCAGCGGTCCTTCGGGCGCTGCCTCTCCGCCTGACGCCGACCCGCCTTCGTCCTCCGTCAACCACGACTGGCGGTTAGACGGAACCGCGCTGCCACTGCTGCTGTCCGCGTTACTGCTGCTGCTCTTATCGAGTAGATCTAATGGCGCCGATACACGGCCGTCTTCGAGCCAGTCATCGTCGCCGTCCAGCCAATCCTCACCGTCGATCTCATCGAACCCGCCTGTCTCATCCCCTGTATAAGAACGCCTCGCTAACGCACGACCGTCACGTAACTCTCCTTCAAATTCTTCCCCTGCTCTCCTGCTACTCGCTCGACCGGATCCCACGAATGCGTGACACCGGGTCGACCTCGCGCATTGCCTCGTGTCCAAGCCGACTGTCGCGCGCGAATGGCTCCCCCGCGCCCCCCAGGTCCAGCGCGGATGCGCAACCTTGACGGCGGAGGCGGGGGGAAAGGGCTCCTGTGCGCGCGCGCCTGCAGCGCGTAGGACCGCAGCACTGCTCGCACAGGCACTCGCGTTAGTGACACTCATCGCACTACTAGCATTGATCGCGTTACTCGCACTCATCGCGTCAGAAGAACTGATCGCGCTACGAATACTCGTTCTAGCGCTGCTAGCCGTAACGCTACGGGAGCTACTCGTAGAAGCAGAGATCCGAGAGGCGGCGGCTGCAAGTCGCGAGGATGCTACTATAGCAACCATGGTTTCCGGTCGGAAAAAAGATGGGAAATGGCTAGACAGGAAGTGCAGAAATGAGTGAGGGGTTTGAGGCGAACTCGTCATAAGCAGGACATTTGACGACACATCTAAGGGCAAACAATGAACTCATAGGAACAAGATGCACATTTCCGTACAAACCAGAATAAGTTTCTATTTTTTAGTAATGCATTAAGGGCATGTATTGATTGAATCACTGTGAAAACAAAGCTGGGCGAAGAGAGGATAAACAATGTGTTATTGGATTTACATACAAGCAAAATGAAGCAAACAGGTAAGAAGCACGATCAAAGACGGGCTTGCAGTACAGTTCCTGTAAGCCCTTCAAAAGATGGAAGAAACCATCAACATACCCAACCTCAGCAGACCAGTCCCAATTGGGCCACACGGTCCACACCATACCACACCACACCACACCACACCACAACACACTGACGTTTAATAACTAGCAGCATGAAAACACATTTCAATCACCGCAACACAAGCTCAACCCGTCAGACCGCCATACTGTCAGTCTGTCAGACAGTCAGAGTCGGGCTGTGAGAGTGTGAGATGAGATGGCGAGGAGCGCTGAGACTCAGAGGGCACGGGGCGGTGAATAATTTGGCGACCGCACACTTCCCGGAGGCAGGGAGAGACTCTTGTTCCAGCACAGGAGAGCAAGAAAGGTCCCACAGTCTCAGAGGGTCTTAGAGGGCCTCGGAGAGAACCAGAGGGTCAGAAGGCGCGGGGGATGGTTTGGCAGCAGCGGCACACCTTACGCAGGCAGTGAGCGAAGTGAGAGACTCTTGTCATGGCACAGCAGTCAGGCTGTGAGAGGGTGCGATGCGAGTCTGAGTTCAGAGGGCACGATGGATGGTTTGTCGCCGGCATACTTCTCGCAGGCGGTTGAGCAGCTTCTCAGGCGTCAGTGGCTTGCTCAGGAACTCGTCAAAGCCCTTCTGGGCGCACTTCACCATGTTGCCGTCTGAGAGGGGAAGAGAGGGGAGGGGGAGGAGGGTAAGGTGGGAGGGGGAGGAGGGTAAGGGGGGGGGGGTGATGGGATGATGGAAAAGGGACTTCAGTGGCTTGCTCAGGAACTCGTCAAAGCCCTTCTGGGCGCACTTCACCATGTTGCCATCTGGAGGAAAGAGGGGGGTAGGAGAGGAAGGAGGGAGGGCCGGGAAGGGGAGGAAAAAAGAAGGGACAGCGATGTGTGTGAGGGGAAGGGGGGGAATAGGAAGGCGGGCTTTCTCGTCAGAAGCTTGCTCAGGAACTCATCAAACCTCGTTTGAGGCGCCTCAAAAGCTTGCTCAGGAACTCGTCAAACCTCTTATCCGCACACCACTCCCTCACCTGAGACGTTGGCAGTGACTGCGAATATGAGCGTGGCCTGCCGTCGCGGTTCAGCCAGTTCCTCCCACTCTCTGAACTGCTCGACAGCCTTGATCCCATCCATGACCAACATGTTCGGTCTTTAACAGGACCAGGTCAAACTCTGGGGCCACCCATGTGCCCTCCTCCGTGCCTTATCACGCCCCAAACCCTGCTGTTTCTCACCTGACACATTGGCGGTCACAGCAAAGATGAGAGTGGCCTGCCGTCGAGGTTCAGCAAGCTCCTCCCACTCCCTAAACTGCTCCACAGCCTTGATCCCATCCATCACTGGCATGTTCAGGTCCATCAGCACCAGATCAAACTGCGGGGCCACCTCTTGCCCCTCCTCCGCGCCCCCTGCGGCCGCCACTGCTGCCTCCTGCGCCTGCAGCTCCAGGTCTGTGCCCCCCCGCATGAGGTCTAAAGCATCACGGCCGTTGCGCGTGAGGGTCACGCGGCAGGACAAAAGTTCGAGAAGTTGCCGGCTTATGGTGCAGTTCACTATGTCGTCTTCAACTACCAGCACCTGTGGACAAGGGACGTGCGGGAGAGCAGGGAGGAAAGTGGATAAAGAAAGTGGATAAAGGAGAGAGGCGTGGAGACGGGTGGAGAGTGGTGGGGAGGGAGTGTGCTGCCCCCTGCGGCCGCCACTGCTGCTTCCTGCGCCTGCAGCTCCAGGTCTGTGCCCCCCCGCATGAGGTCTAAGGCATCTCGGCTATTGCGCGTGAGCGTGACGCGGCAAGACAAAAGTTCCAAGAGCTGGCGGCTGATGGTGCAGTTGACTATGTCGTCCTCCACCACTAGCACCTGCGGGAGAGGGAGAGATGAGGAATAGTGACAAGGGAGAAGGCAGGAAGCGAGGGAGGGAGGAGAGGTGGGGAGACATGGGGCAAGGAAGAAAAATGGGGAGGCAGGGGAAGATGCAGTAGAGAGGCGGAGAGGAGAGCAGTTTAAGAAGTTGCAGGCTGACGGTGCAGTTAACTATGCCGTCCTCCACTACTAGCATCTGGGGACAGGAAAGGGGATGAAGGAGAGAGGGATGGTGAGGGGTGGGGAGGGGCTGAAACCAACTGGTTGGACGCCGTCAGTAGCAGCGGGCTCCACACACAGGCTTCCAGTTCCCAAACCCGCCTTCAAACCTGAATTCCAAGCCCACATTCAGCCCTGCACGCACCTTGAACCCTCTAATGAGCTTCTTATCCTCCTCGGGCAGGGATTCGAGAAAGGCCGACCCCCCTGTGAACGACTTGGCTCCCCTCGCTCCCCCCAGCTGGTTAGACGCCGTCAGAGGCAGCGGGCTCCACGGCTTGGACACCGTCAGCACTCCGCCTTGAGCCCTGAATTTCAAGCCCTGCACTCTGTTTGAACCTTAGATCCTAGCCCGCATTGAAACCTGAGGACCGCAACGCACCTTGAACCCTCTGATGAGCTTCTTATCCTCCTCGGGCAGGGATTCGAGAAAGGCTGATCCTCCCGTGAACGACTTGGCTCCCCTCGCTCCCCCCAGCTGGTTGGACGCCGTCAGAGGCAGCGGGCTCCACGGCTTGGACACCGTCAGCACTCCACCTTGAACCCTGAATCCCAAGCCTACACCCTGCACGCACCTTGAAGCCCCGGATGAGTTTCTTATCCTCCTCGGGCAGCGATTCGAGAAAGGCCAACCCCCCTGTGAACGACTTGGCTCCCCTCGCTCTTCCCAGCTGGTTAAAGGCTTCCGAACCTTAATCCTGCACCCTGCTGCACACACCTTGAACCCTCTTATGAGCTTTTTGTCCTCCTCAGGCAGCGATTCGAGAAAGGCCGACCCCCCTGTGAACGACTTGGCTCCCCGGGCTCCCCCCAGCTGGTTAGACGCCGTCAGAGGCAGCGGGCTCCATGGCTTGGACACCGTCAGCACTCCGCCGCCCACTCCCACCCCTCCTCCTCCTCTCTCTCCGCCTCTCTCTCCTCTCTCTCCTCCTCGCACTCCTCGGTCGCCTCCTCGGGGGGAGAGGGAGAGGCCAAACCCGGCAGAGGAGGAGGAGCCACTGGCTTCAAGGAAGAGTGTCTTTGTTGGCCCACCTGCACTTCCACCTCGGCTCAACCCCACCCTTTCTCTCCTCTCGCCCTTCTCGCCTCTCTCCCCCCTCTCCCCCCTCTCCCCCCTCTCGCCTCTCTCTCCCCTCTCTCCCCTTTCTCCTTTCTCCCCTCGCTCGGCTTTTTCTGCCGAGGTTCCTCCGCCGTCCCCCCCTCCTCTGCCCCCTTTAAGGCGGTCATGGGATTTCGGCACGCTTCTCGAGCGATTGTATTGGCTGGGATCCGGCACGGGCAGGTGGAAAAGTTCGTCCCGGGAAACTTTTGAAGCGGTTGCTGACCGTTTATATGCAGGGACGTTTACACTCCTATCCACAACGCTCCCACTATCATCCTCATCTTCGTCCCCTTCTTCATCCTCCTCCTCCTCCTCCTCCTCCTCCTCTTCCTCCTCTTCCTCCTCTTCCTCCTCCTCCTCGTCATCATCATCATCTAATACTTTCCGAAGCGTTTCCGCTGTTGGTCCATCAAGAACCGAACCAACGCCCGAACCTGCACCCGAGCCTGCTTTCTTCTTCGCCTTCTGCCCCGTGTCAAAAAACGACCCCGAACCTCCTCCCGCCCCGCCCCTCCCGTCCCGTAAATCCACCCCTCGCCCCTCCATCGCCCTCCCATCCAGCCCTCCACTCCCCCCCATAGCCCGGTCCAAAACAGCAGCGCGACGCGCAGCAGCAGCGGCAGCAGAGGAGGAAGAAGAGGCAGCAGTAGCACCTACACCAGATAAGCCCTTCCCCATGCCCAAACCGCCCATGCCCATGCCCATCCCGCCCATGCCCATCCCCACGCCCATCCCCATGCCCATGCCAAGGCGAGTGGATGAGCCATGGGTGGTTGATGCTGCTGCTGCAGACGCCTGACGTTCCATATCCATTCGCATCTTCACAATTTGCTGTACCTCCTCGTTAGAGTCTAGGCTGCTGTTGGGGGGGAGAGGAACGGCGGGAGTGTGGAGAGGGGGTCATGAATCCTACTAAGCTACACGCATGTGTTGTCACTGGCTGTGTGGCACTGAGTGATGCTGCCGCAGCGGATGCCTGCCTCTCCATATCCACTCGCATCTTCACAATTTGCTGCACCTCCTCGTTGGAATCCAGACTGCTGTAGGGGGGGCAAGGGGGTTGGAGAAGGAGTGGAATCTTGAGGTGCAGGGCCGTATTGTCAGTGGTCATTGGCACTATGGCACCAGGCTGAGGCTGCTGCTGCTGCTGCTGATGCCTGTGTCTCCTCTCAACTCCATTCGCATCTTCACAATCTACTGCACCTCCTCGTTGGAATCCAGGCTGCTGTTGGGGGGAGGGAGGAATGGAGGGAGTGAGGAGAGCGGGTCATGAATTGCTAAGTTTCAGGTATGACTTGCCACTGGCGCTGAGCTGACGCTGCTGCTGCGGATGCCTGCCTCTCCATCTCCACTCGCATCTTCACTATTTGAAGCACCTCCTCGTTCGAATCCAGGCTGCTGTTGGGGGATGGAGGGTGGGTGGGAGAGAGTGTGGAAAGATGAGTTGTAGACACGCACTGTCATTTCCCTAACGGCACAAGGCTGAGGCTGAGGCTGAGGCTGAGGCTGAGGCTGATGCTGATGCTGATGCTGATGCTGATGCTGATGCAGATGCTGATGCTGATGCAGATGCTGATGCTGATGCAGATGCTGATGCTGATGCTGATGCTGATGCTGATGCAGATGCTGATGCTGATGCTGATGCTGATGCGCTGATGCTGATGCTGATGCGCTGATGCTGATGCTGATGCTGATGCTGATGCTGATGCGCTGATGCTGATGCGCTGATGCTGATGCGCTGATGCTGATGCGCTGATGCTGATGCTGATGCTGATGCTGATGCTGATGCGCTGATGCTGATGCGCTGATGCTGATGCGCTGATGCTGATGCACTGATGCTGATGCTGATGCTGATGTGCTGATGCTGATGCTGATGCTGATGCTGATGCTGATGCGCTGATGCTGATGCGCTGATGCTGATGCGCTGATGCTGATGCGCTGATGCTGATGCGCTGATGCTGATGCGCTGATGCTGATGCGCTGATGCTGATGCGCTGATGCTGATGCGCTGATGCTGATGCGCTGATGCTGATGCTGATGCTGATGCGCTGATGCTGATGCGCGCATAACGATGCGCTGATGCTGATGCGCTGATGCTGATGCGCTGATGCTGATGCTGATGCTGATGCTGATGTTGATGCTGATGCTGATGCTGATGCTGATGCGCTGATGCTGATGCACTGATGCTGATGCTGATGCTGATGCGCTGATGCTGATGCTGATGCTGATGCCGCTGCCGCTGCCGTTGCCGCTGCTGATACGAATGCCTGCCTTCTCAAAGCACCATAAGAAGTTTCCGTAACCTCAAACAGCACCACACAGCACCGCACGGAGAAACACAGAAACACACAGCACCACACAGCACCGCACAGCACCATACCTGTTCTGCTGGCTGGACTCCTTGGAAAGCCCGTCCATCTCGCTGTTATACTCCCACAGGTTGTTCAACAGCCTCCTGGCGTACGCCCCCTTCTCCTCATTCCCCTCCTTCACCGTCCCCAGGTGCTGTCCCCACGCCTTCTCCCCCTTCCGCCCCCCCACGCCCTCCCCTCCGCTCCCCCCTCCCCCCGCGCCTCCCCCCGCCCCTCCCCCTCCCCCGCCACCTCCCCCTCCCCCTCCTCCCCCCCCACCCCAGTTCTTCCCAGCGCCTCCCCCAGCCAAATCCAACCGCATGGTCTCAAGCTTTCTTCTAAACTCTTCCATTTCAGAGGGCGTTCGGAAGGGCAGAGAGGAGAATGCAGAGAGTAGTTCCGCCCCTTCCCCTCCCCCACCCGCCCCTAGTACCCCGCTCCCTCCACCCCCTCCCCCTCCCCCCAACCCCTTCCCGCTGCTGCCCAATCCGCCCCCACTGCTGCTGCTGCCGCCGCCACCTCCCCCTCCTCCACTCCCACCCAGCACGCCTGCTGCTCCCCCTCCGCTGGTGTTGGGGCGGCGGCGTAATGACGACTCTAGGTCTTTAATCTCTAGTCCTAGACCCAGGCCCATACCCACTCTGTGTAGACTATCCTTCGATGTCTCTAGTCCTAATCCCATATGCAAACGCGTGAGAGGTGAAATATCCCTATCCCTGTCTCTGTCTCTATCTCTATCTCTGTCCCTGTCTCTGTCCCTCTCTCTATCTCTGTTCCGTGGTAAAGACAAGCTACTGATTACACTACCACCGCCACCCCCACCACCGCCCACACCCACTCCCCCAGGGCCCCCTAAATCATCCGAAATCAGCCCGCCTCCACCCAAACCACCAGTACTTAAACTCCCACCGCCCAAACCACCGCCACTTAAACCTCCGCCACTCAAACCACCCCCACTCAAACCTCCCCCGCCTAAACCACCCCCACTCAAACCTCCCCCGCCTAAACCACCCCCACTCAAACCTCCCCCGCCTAAACCACCCCCACTCAAACCTCCCCCGCCTAAACCTCCCCCACTCAATCCTCCCCCGCCTAAACCTCCCCCACTCAATCCTCCCCCACTCAATCCTCCCCCACTCAAGCCGCCCGCGCTCAGGCTGCTGCCCCCCATGCCTCCGCCCATGCCGCCCCCCATGCCGCCGCCCATGCCGCCCATGCCCCCCATGCCGCCCATGCCGCCCCCATGCCGCCCCCCATGCCGGCCGGGCGGCGCTTGAGGGAGGCGGAGATGGTGTGCGGGCTAGAGGGGGACTCCATGGGGGAGAGCAGCGTGGAGGGGGACATGGTGAGATCCGATGACCAGTTGTCAAGTGACTGGAGGAACAAGAGGGGGGGGGGGGGAGAGGGAAAGTGGAGGCAAGGAAATGAAGGGAGCAAGGAAGGTGAGAGAGGCGGAGATGGTGTGCGGGCTAGAGGGGGACTCCATTGGGGAGAGCAGCGTGGATGGCGACATGGTGAGATCTGATGACCAGTTGTCAAGCGACTGGTGGGGGAGAAAAGGGGGGATAGAGGCAACGCAATGAAGCGGGAACAGGGAATCAGCTTATGCGAGGCGATGGAGTGAGGGCGACGTGATAACCAGGTGATGGAGTGAGGGATGGAGGCTGGTGAGAACGGAATGATGGGAAACGGAGGACAAGAGAAGAGGAGAGAGGAGACGAGCAGAGAGGAGCGGCGAGGTGAGAAGAGGGGAGAGGAAAGGAGCGCTCACCAGAGGGGCAGAAGAATCATCAGTGACAAACTCGATCCATGCAAACCACCTGATGACATGGGGGGCATGGAGTCATGTCATGATACGAGGCATGGCACATGGGGCATAAGGGAAGGGGGCATGGGTGGGTGCATTATCGAATGAGCATGGGTGCATGGGTTGTCAGGCAGACAGACATCGGGCATACGCCCATGACAGCAAGCAGAGGCGATACATTCATGACTCACCTTGCCCCCACTCACAGCACATGACACCACACCACACCACACCACACCACACCACGCCACACGCTCACTCACCTCGCGCCCAGAGCCCTGCCAGTGGCCTGCACCGTCGCGTAGCTCCTGTTCCGCCTCAACCGCCGGTAAAAGACGCACCCGCCGCCCGCACTGCCGCCCGGGCTGCTACCCAGCGAGTCCCCCACGCCCACCCCTCTGGGACTCCCCGCCGACCCCGACCGGAAGAGACGAGCAGCAGCCGACGCGGTGGGCGGGGTGAGGGAGAGGGGCGGGGAGCGGCGGTCGTCTAGCAAGCGGCGATCCTCTGTCAAGCGGCGATAGTCCATCATGCGCTGGATTCGGGGGAGGTCGTCTGCATGGCACGCTGCAAAGGCGTGCTCCCCTACTAGTTCAGCTTGCCTCCAGCCGAGAGTGGCGCGCACACTCGGGGAGACGTAGCACAGGCGCCACTGAGAGGGGACAGGGGGAAGGGGAGCGAGGAAGGGGGGAATGGTCTTCTGTCAACCGTCTGGCGTCTATCATGCGTTGGATTCGAGGCAGGTCGTCTGCATGGCAGGCTGCAAAGGCATGCTCCCCCACCAGCTCTGCCTGGCGCCACCCCAGTGTGGCGCGCACACTGGGAGACACGTAGCACAGCCGCCACTGGGGGGCGGGAGGGGCGGGGGTGTGTGGGAGCGGGGGAAGGGGTGGGAAGAGGCGATGAGAAGAGAGAGGTGTGGTTTGAAGCAGTTGGGGCGGCACAGTCAGGGCAGAACCACCCTAGCATGCGCGGACGTGTGTGGGGCAGGTCGTCTGCATGGCACGCTGCAAAGGCGTGCTCCCCTACTAGCTCCGCCTGGCGCCAGCCTAGCGTGGCGCGCACTGGGAGACACGTAGCACAGCCACCACTGGGGAGAGAGCGGAGGCGAGGTGGGAAGGGGGAAAGAGGGGGTATACGCACGGGGGTATGCAGAGGGATGGTGAGGAGAGAGGTAGGGGATGAAAGGGAAAAATGCTTGGAAATAGGAATGCAACCACCCCAGTTTGCTATGGGCAGCGCAGCACAGCACTGCACAGCACCAGACTGCACCGCATTTCACAGCACCAGACTGCACCGCATTTCACAGCACCAGATCGCACAGGAAAACACGAGCACCAATGTCTACCTTGCCTTCACCTATTTCTTTCCCTACTTACATTTGTCCTATCTGCCACGTAGACGGTCCATGGTGACGTGGCAGAGAGGAGCAGCATGTCAGTGACCAGCGAGAGATCTAGGCCGTCCACTGGAGATAGGGGATCATCCGACGGCCAGGAGTCCACCCCACCACCTCTGGGTTTGGGGGAGGGGAAGGAGGAGGGGGGGGGGGGGGGGGAGGAGAGGAGAGGAAGGAACAAAGCAATTCCTGATCCGTGCCTGCAGCAGCCTTCCCAGCAATTAACGTGTATGAGTATGACTGCTTCACAAGAACAGCTACTACCTATGATTTTAAATTCAAGATGGAAAGCCATTGCACAAGGCTTTAAAACGACTCCCTGGAAGCTGAACCCCGTTATAAGGTCATACTCGCTACAAGCTACAGTGCCACTCACAGGCGGGGCTTGCCGGGTATGGCAGTGGCAGCCGGGGCGGAGAGTCTGGTGGCGTCCGCGCCTATGGGCGAGCAGCACAGCGCGCCGAGCTTGGTGCCCAGCATCACCAGCTCCTCCAGACAGCGGATCTCGCACTCCAATAGCCTGGGTGGGGTGAGGAAGGGGATTGACAGCGGTTGGAATGGGCTAAAAAGGGGACTAGGGAGGGGAGCGGGAGCACAGCGCGCCGAGCTTGGTGCCCAGCATCACCAGCTCCTCCAGACAGCGGATTTCGCACTCCAATAGTCTGGAGGAAGGGAGGGGGGATTGAGAACGGTTGGGTTAAGGAGTGGAAAGAGGATGTGGGGCGGAGGGATTGAATGTTGTGTTTGGTGTGCGCGTTTGCTGCGTAGGGAATGTAAGGAGGGATTGTGCCCAAGAACAGCGCTTAATTAGAAACCGTGCTTACTTAGAACCGTGCTTAGCACTTAATCAAGAACCGTGCTTACTTAAGAACCGGGCCTTTGGTGCCGGAGGAGATTAACTCGCTGCGCTGCGCGTCCAGCTCATGGAACCACTGGCGGTACGTCCTTAATCTCTCCGCCTCAAAGCTCCCCCCCGGCGCCGCGCCATTGCTTAGCAGCGACGGCTGCGCGCCAAGCGATTGTGAGCTGCTTCCGCCACCCCCGCCAGCCCCCGCGCCTGCGCCACTTGCGCCACCCCCGCCCCACCCCCCCACCCCCGCCACCTGCGCTAGCTACACCACCTAAGCCATTCGCTATCTTACCGCCACCGCTCATAATGCTACTGCTAATATTATTGCTAACGCTATTGATATTCCCACCACCGGGCATGGGACTTATGCTGCCTATGCTGCCGCCGCCCATGCCGCCACCAGTGTTGCTGCTTCCGCCTCCCCCCGGCCCTCCGCCAACCATCGCGCTTCTTTCCCCCAAGGTTCCTCCGCCTACCAAGCCTCCGCCTGCCCCTCCCCCTCCCCCTCCCCCTCCGCCTCCCCCTCCCCCGTGAGCTCCGCCTGTTCCCCCAGTGCCGCTTCCACTCTGTGACCCCCCTCCCCCGCTGCCTTTGCCGGCCTTGAGGCCGGGAAGGTTCTCCGAAGCTGCTCCCCCCGCGTTCCCCCCTCCTCCCGACTTTGCAGTGGCCATTGCGGAGGGCTTCCCGCCGGAAACTGCGCCGGAATTCCCGCCGCGATGAGCGGAAGAAGTGAAATGAGACGCAGCCGGGGTGCCGGCAATTCTCTCGGAAGCTTCCACCGACATGGCTACCGTCTGGTGGTAACCCGGTTACGACATGGGAGCCCGTCTACGGTAGCCGCGAGTGCTGATTGGCGCGCAATAGCGACGCTTCGCGGTAACGAAAGCAAGGCGCTAACGATTAATTACTGGTTGAGAATTGAGAAGAAAAATGGGGGCGTGTACCGGAAGCATGTCAGCTATGCATTGTCGCGTGCTGGAGCATGTCAGCTATGCATTGTCGCGTGCTGGAAGCATAGTCATCGAAGCATTGTCAGGTAAGCATTCTCAGGCAAGCGTTGTCAGGTAAGCAACTGTGAGGCGTATCAAGAAGCTGCGCATCTCGCGGTGAGCATTGCACGGTGGAGAAACTCCGCGTGAGCATCTAACGGCCAGCCGACAGTACATGGCAGTAGTGTCGGCCGTCAATGCATCCACTCCCGTTAAGCACCGCCAGTGTGAGGCTGTTTGAAGGAGGGAAGCAGAACGGAGAAAACAGTCCGGCGAAAGCAGTAACCAGCTGGAGAGACCTAAGGAGGTTCTGCGGCAGTAGTGTCGGCCGTCAATGTGTCCACTCCCGTTAAGCACTGCCAGTGCGAGGCTGTTCGCAATGGCAGGCGAGAAGCAATACGGCGAAACGCAGCCTGGTGGAAGCAGTAACCAGCTGACCTAAGAAGCTTCTCTCGTTTGACATTTACTCAGTGAACAGAACGCGAGAAGAGGCCGTTTCTCTGCTTCCGTGCCAAAAAAACCAGCGTCGCCAGAATATTAGTCGTATATTCTAATCCCGCTCATTGCATAGCTGCGATATTACGAACATCAAAGTTAACGGAAAACTTGTTAAATACCTCGAGCCGCTAACTACGACCTCGCGCAACGAAACCGCACCGCCTCAGAAGCGTTAGTTGGAAAACCTAAAACTGAAATGCTGACGCGAATTGAGGTGGATACGTGAGTGCGTCAGGGGCTTGGGGCGAGTTAGCAGTATGCCGTAACCCTAACAGACGGCAGGTGGAGACAGATGCTTCCTGGTTTGAGTTTGAATAAGTCAGGTCATTCTGTTGGAGTCCTGTGTCGCGTACAGTAGCGAAGTATGTACTAGCAGTCTAGTTTCTCTATATATGATCAAGCTAGAAATCAATTATTTTGCACACAGTAGCAGGGCTGGACCCAGGCAGGAGATGCAAATTGCAATGTAGCTCAATGAAATATTGCAACAGCAGCAGCAGCAGCAGCAGCAGAGCAGATGTTCATATCATGCAATCGGCAGCACATGCAACTGCAGCCGTACCGCGAGCACTGGGGGAACTTACGGTAAGACGGCTCTGACTCTCTGACTCTGAGCCGCATGGTGCAGCAGTGTGGCACGACGGCATGGCATCTCTTTCCTACCCTCCCCTCCCTCCCCACACCATGTGCCTTTGTGAATTCTCTAGGGCTCTCATGCACATAACATGGCGCGTGTCTTTTCATTCCTACCCACCCCTCCCTCCCACTCCCCACACCATGTGCCTCAGACCCCTCTTTAGCTCAGGCACCCCCTCACCCAGCACAGCACACAGCGGCACCACCGGCACTTGCAGCTCAAATCCCTTACTCCTCCACTCACCCCCTCACCCGCACACCAAGCCCCTTAGAGCCCTCTTTAGCTCAGGCACCCCCTCACCCAGCACAGCGCACAGCCGCACCACCGGCACTGGCAGCGGCAACACCATTTGCTCCCCCGCCATACCACTACCGTCACTACCACTGCCAAAACCAACAGCGCCGAAATCATCACTACCAGTCACCGAAGAACCAGCACCACTGCCAGCTGTGCTACCACTACCAGCAGCACTAACAGCACATCCACCTCTCAAGCGCCTGAGCAGCTCCTGTAGGTTGGCTTCCGATGCCTCCTCGTCCATCTTGTTAGCAGCAATGAGAGCAGGGCGCAGAGACAGCCCTGCCTGGTACCGCTCCAGCTCGCTCACCAGCACCTGCAGCTGCTGCCAGGGGGGGAGGGCCCCTGCTGACACTGAACTAAGTTCGGTAGCACTAGGTTCAGCTGTGCTAAGTTCGGTTGCACTAGGTTCGGTTGCGCCTGGCTCGCTCGCAACAGGGTCACCTGCAACAGTACTAGTACTGGAGCTTCTCATATCGAGGACGTAGACAATCACTTTGGTGCGCTCTACATGCCTTAGAAAGGACAGTCCCAGCCCCCTGTCCCTGTGTGCACCGCCTATCAGCCCTGGGATATCCGCCACTGTAAACCCCATCTCACCCCCAGGAACCGCTTCCAACCCCCTCCCTGCACTCCCTCCTGCAAATCCCCCGTCCTCGGCCCCCAATGCACCCTCAACTCCCTCCTTCTTCTCCTCCCCCTCTCCCCCCCACGCTCTCTCCTCTCGCCACACATCCGCCCCTCCTGAAACTCCCTCTCCCTCCAACCGTACTCTCTCATCCCCCTCCCCATACCTAACGGTACCCAGCTGCGGGTGCAGGGTGGTGAAGGGGTGCCAGCCCACTCTAGGCTTGGCGCGAGAGAGCGCGCGCAGGAGGCTGCTCTTACCCGCATTCGGCAGGCCCACCAGCCCCACATCAGCCACTGTCTTGAGCTCTAGAGCAACCACCGCCCTGCTCCCTGGGCTACCCTTTTCGTGCCCTAAGCCAGATTCTGCTGCTCCTGCTGCTGCTGCACCTGCCCCTGCTGCACCTGCCCCTGCTGCTAGTGCTCGTGTCCCCTTTCCGCCCTGTACCAAACCATCCTCTTCCATCTCCCACGGTTTCACTCGACCCATGGAGGCATTCCCCCTGCCGCCCCTCCCACCATGCGCCACTGTCACGCTCTGCCCTTCAGCCACTAGATCTGCCACCAGCAATCCTCTCTCCCGCGCCCTTTTCTGTGCCATCCCACAGAAATGTGACCCATTGTCATCCACACTCCCCTCACTCCCCTCATCCCCCTCATTCCCCTCACCCCCCTCACTCCCCAAATTTCCCTCATCAGCAACTGCTCGCCTCTTCCCGTATCTCTCCTGACCCCACTGCTGCAGCAGCTGCTGCCAGGACGGCTCTTCGCCCCCCCTTCTCCTCACCTCCCCCTCCCCCTCCCCTTCCCCCTCCACGTGTTCCCCCATCCGCTCCTCCTGCTGCTCTTCCTTGGAGGCCTCGAACAGAGCAGCCCACCAGGGGGGAGACGCAGGCACACTGCAGCTACCCGACGAAGCAACTGTTTCTTCTGTTTCAGAACCAGCGACAGCAACAGCAGCACTGGCACCATCATCGGCACTACCAGATTCATCTCCAATACCCTCCAGGGGAACTTCCCCTTCCAGCAAATACACCGCAGTCCCCACAGGCACCCTCACCTCCCTCTCCACCCCTCTCGCCCCCACCCGCTTCTTACTCGACCCATGCCCCCACGCCCGCCTTCCACGCGCACACGCAGGCGATCGATAAAGGGGCGGTCGCGGGGAGGGTCGGGCTTTGATGCCTTCTTCTTGTTACTGCTTGAACTGCTGCTGGTGCTGCTGCTAGGGGTGGTGCTGATGCTTCGGCTGCCCCTGCGCCCGCCTTCCACGCGCACACGCAGGCGATCGATAAAGGGGCGGTCGCGGGGAGGGTCGGGCTTTGATGCCTTCTTCTTGTTACTGCTTGAACTGCTGCTGGTGCTGCTGCTAGGGGTGGTGCTGATGCTTCGGCTGCCCCCGCGCCCGCCTTCCACGCGCACGCGGAGGCGATCAATGAAAGGGCGGTCGCGGGGAGGGTCGGGCTTCGGTTTCTTTGGCTCGCCACTGCTGCTGCTGCTGCTGCTGCTGCTGCTGCTGCTGCTGCTGCTGCTGCTTCCGCTGCTGTTGGGGCTGGTGCTGCTGCTGGTGGTGCTGCTGATTTTTCTGGTGCAACTGATGCTGCTGCCACTCCAAGCAGCGGACCTAACACCATACCCATGGCCAAGGCCTAGACTGTTGATAAAGTGTGGGGAGGGCATGGGTGAACTGCTGTGCCTAGGTGCAAGTGGGGGAGAAAGGGCAGCGAGGGAGTGGGTGGGAGTGTGGGTGTGGCTGAAAGCGGGGCTGCTGGTAGGGAGATAGGCAATATGGGAGGGGAAGAAGAGGAGAAAGGAGATGGAGGAGGAATTTGAAGGGTTGGGGTGGAGTGGGGAGAAGAGGAGGGAGAGAATGGAGTGGTGGAGGGAAGGGGGGAGGAGGGAATGGTGGGATATGGATAGGCATGAGAGACAGAGGAGTCGGAAAGAGCAGGAGAGGAGAATAAAACGATGAAAGAAACACAGAAAGTTTGAAGCAGCGAGCACCTTCTTGGCTGCAAATGTGGAAATCATGAAACAAAAAAAAAAAAAAAAAAAAAAGCCAAATCGTGATTCGAATTGAGCTGTCATTGTCATTGATACAGCAAAGTCACCCCAACCCAAACAAGGAAGTGCAAGCAAACATGGCTAGAGACGAATTGGACGGGCTACACAATCTGTGTCAGAATCTATGGTGCTGCAAACAAGATGTGCTAATGCTCCTCCTTGCCGAACCCATGCACAATGCTAATCTGCAGCACAGAGAGAGACACAAAGAGAGGAGGAGATGTGCAGAGGGCACACACAGTCACACACATGCCCATGCACATGCATGCATGCATAGACCCCCCACAGAGTCACGTAGACATACATGCACCCAGAGAGTCATACACAAGGGCACACACACCCACACCAGGACGGTTGATCAGTTGCAGACAGAGAGAGCCAGTGCATGCGGAAACAACAAGCAACAAGCTGCCAGAAAGGTGGCTTATGGTAACAAGGAGTGCTGTGCGGTGGATGCTGCGTACCTCTTGGGGGAAGGGAGGGTTGCGAGCGTACTTGGATCCGCCATACACCCATGGCACTGCAAAGAGGAGAGGAGGGAGGGAGCGACAGGGAGGGAGGGAAGGAGCAGGAGAGAGAAGAGAGGGAGGAGAGTGCGTGGGGGGAAGGGAGGGTTGCGAGCGTGCTTGGATCCGCCATACACCCATGGCACTCAAGTGACTGATGCCACTCGCTCACTCACTCACTAACTCACTCACTTTCTCACTCACTCACCGAGGTACGGGTCGGGGTGCTGGTTCTCCTTGAGCTTCGCCTCTCCCGCTGCCAGCAGACGGTCGATCCGATCCGGATCGCTCTAACAGGCGGGAAGGGGGGAAAAGGGGGAGGCGAGAGGGGGGAGGGGCGGGGGAGCGAGAAGGAGGAAAAGCGAGAGGAAAATGACGGGTGGAGAGAAGAACGGAGATGGAAATAAGGTTTTCAAAGGATGATGGCTTAAACAACGAGCTTAAACTTGAGACAGCTCTCAGTCGCACTGCGTGCATGCATTTCCATACGACAAGGCGCGCAAACCCGTCAGCCGCCTCACCTCCTGCCGGTTCGCCTCAAACTGCGCGCGGATCTTGTCGGCCTGCACCACATGACAGCATTGCACGCGGGAAGGGAATAGCACAGACGTCGCGATAATGCGTGACACGGATCGCAAGCAAATACGGAAAGTAACAACGAAAGAAGCGACTTGTTTTCGCGAGCACTCGCCTCGTCGTAGAAGATGTCGCGAAAGATCGCCCAGCTGAGCGCGTTCTTGAGCGATCGGCGGTACAGCTGCCTCGCGCGCTGCTGCTGCAGCTCCCGCCGCAGGGTCGAGGCCGCGGCGGAGAGGCTCATGGCGGAATGCGGAAGCGGAACGAGGATGCGGGAGGGCGGAGGCGGAGGGAGGAAGCGGAAGGAACGACGGCGGTATGAAGCGTGGGGAGCACTAATAGCGACCCGTAGTGCAGACGACCTAGTTATGGGTGTTGATCCTCGATACCCTCGCATTCGGTTAGAAATACCCGACTTCCTAATACATTTCGATAAACGTGTCATATGAAGCTTGAATTCCAATTTGTGCGGTGGACTTGAGCGAGGATACTTTCTAGGTTCGGTGCCTTCCGCTGCAAGCCAATCAGGGTCACCGCCACCAGATCGTTTGCCACGTCCCCTAGGTTCGCAAAAGCCACGACAATCCCGAGGCTTCAGTTCCCTTCCATACCCGCGAACAAGAGAGACCCGAACCTCCATTTCACCCTCCACCCCTACTATCTCTGCTTTCCTTCCCAGCCAAACAAGAAACTAGCCTCTTTCCCCCACTCTCCTCTCCTCTCCGTCCTACTGTTTGCTTCTCACCATAAGGCTTGGTCCAGGTCGCCAGAATTCTTCCGCCTCACTCATTCCCTTCGTCCAACGATATTTTATGGCTGCCAGAGCCCCAAGTGCAGCCATTGCCCTTCTCCGCTCATCAACCATCCCGCATTTTCTCTCCGCTCGATCTTCTCCTGCAGCAGCCCAACGCTCTTATCCTCTTGGGGTGTTTAGTCCCGTGCGTCGTCCCTCTTCTCCTGTGTATCCACTCTCATCACGCAACCTCTTTCTTTTCCGTGCTAGTGCACAAACTGATCCGTCATTCCAACCCAGAACTACACCCCTGAGCTCACGAATATCCTTCGCTCGTTCTCCGCTAACTGTCTCGCCTAGCCTCGCACGGTTCGCGAGTCTCAGAACTAGTAACGAGTCACATTCATTATTATCGCTTTCGGTTCTCGGCCGTGAGAAGGGTGTTTTGCGCGCGATGGGGAGCGTAGCGACGGAGAATGGAGCGGCGGGTGCGGCGGAGGAGCAGATGGATGCGGTGCAGCAGCGACTCATGTTCGACGACGAGTACGTCACAAGCCACCCACGCCGTTCGATCCACGCCTTTCAACTCACGATGCTCCAAACCCTGCTTACAGCGTTTGTTAGGTGTCGATCAGTAGCAGTTGATTTCAATGATTCATTGTACCTTTTCCGTCCCGCGTCTGCCGCCGCAGGTGTATTCTCGTAGATGAAAATGACAAGGTGGTGGGTCACGCCAATAAGTACACTTGTAAGCAATGAGTAGCCTTGGGATTATGGACACATGTTTTGGGCCAAACAGGCACACGTCATTCGTTCTTTCGCCAGGCTATCACGGCCTATCGCTGAGAGTCATAACGAACACACGCGGCATTCGTGATTTTTGGTCGACTCAAGCATCACTTTATTGCATAACTTTCCCTGACAGGCCACATTATGGAGAACATCAATAAAGGCACAGCACGCCACCGTGCCTTCAGCGTCTTCCTTTTCGACTCCCAGCACCGCCTGCTGCTCCAGGTACTAATTTCATGGAGTGCATTAGGAGTAAATTTACCCAGCAGTACAAGAATCTAGCCTAGCCTGTACAGGCGCAACAGCAGTGTTAGGTCAGCAGTTGTTCATTGGCTGTGTGCGTGAGTCTGGTTGTTTCCTCAGACACACAAAACACTGAATCTGATCCTCCTACATGCTTTTGATGAAATCCCCCTCATAACCCTATTGTATCCCTCTCTTTCCCCAGCAACGTGCAGCATGCAAGGTGACGTTTCCCCTGGTGTGGACCAACACGTGCTGCAGTCACCCGCTGTACCGTCCAGAGGAGATGGAGGAGGCGAACGCGCAGGGAGTGCGCGTGGCGGCGCGGCGCAAGCTGGAGGACGAACTGGGGATCGACCCGGACACGGTGGATGTGTCGGCCTTCACGTGCCTTGGCCGCATGCACTACAAGGCTCCTTCTGATGGGAAATGGGGCGAGCATGAGAGTGAGTACTTTCTGATGGGAAACGGGGGGAGCATGAGAGTGAGTGCATGCTTCGAGCCGGGGATCGACCCGGACATGGTGGATGTGTCGGCGTTCACGTGCCTTGGCCGCATGCACTACAAGGCTCCTTCTGATGGGAAATGGGGCGAGCATGAGAATGAGTGCATGCGTTGAGCATTGATCAGAGGGAAATCTGCATCATGAATCTGGCCTTCTGTGTCATTGTGGTGGAGTGGAATCTCCTCCCTGTCAAGGTGGTGTAGTTACCTCCATCTCAAGATGGTGGTGGGATCTCCTTCATGTTGTGGTAGAACGCCTTTCTTGCTGGAGTATCAACGTTTTGCAAATGATTGGTTGGTCTCTTGTTTCCCCTCTGTCCTGAGATTTCACATTTCCTGAACTTGGATCTTATCAAGGCTTGTAAGGTTATCTTTCTTATATTCTTCCTGCTCCCATTCTGTTCATGCAGTTGACTACCTCCTCGTACTCAAGGCTGACTTGAAGGCCACTCCTAACCCTAACGAGGTGGCTGCTGTAAGATTTGTGGATCGCGACGAGTTGAAGGAGCTGGTGCGCAAGGCTGACAAAAAGGAGGATGGAGTGGTGCTGTCGCCGTGGTTCCGACTTGTAGTGGACCGGTTCCTGCCTGCCTGGTGGGACCACCTAGATGCAGGCACACTTGAGGAGGTAGTTGACATGGAGAAGATCCATCACTTGTAATGACCGCAATGTACTTGCTGCAAAAAGTATCTTATTCAATATATGGTAGACGTTTATCTATATTGTAAGGGCAAGTACCCATGCAGTTGCTCAACAGTTACTATATGTGGATTCATGAAAATGATGGTAAGTGTAATGCAGGAAAACATAATCTGTACCGGTCGTATTTCATCAAGATTTGTCAGATTTTAGGTAATTCCCGCCCGAAGGCGTCAGCAACACGCCCTGCTTTAGGACAAACCGCCAGTTTCACACCACGGAAATACCGATGGAAAGAATCTGCGAGTAGCTTACTCGTTCTCAGGTTCAGCGGCTTCAAGGCAGCGCGTCGTATTCAGCGTGAGTGCCATGGCGGACTGGGATCTGGACCCTGCCGCGTTGTTCGGCGACAAGGACGGCGACGATGACGAAATCCCTCAAGTATGCTAGTAGATGGTAACCTACTAGCGACGGCATGCAGTTTGTGCATTTTGTTAGCGTGTCAAGAAGCGCGCTGAAGTCGACGAGTCAGCAGGGTCCGAGCGACGCTGAATACCGAGATTAGCTGAATACCGAGATTAGCTCAGATTCGTCCCATTCGCCGTCACCTTGCTGCTAGACCATCATGATCCTACCCCAGTGTTTCCTTCCTGAGGATGATATTTACCCGTGAAAATCTACGACATTTTTATTCCGCTTACAGTTTAAGGCACGGAGCGGATGAACTCCATCACCTTATATTCATCACAGTTTCCTCCGTATCCTGAATCCCTCTGCCTGTCAGTATTATTCTGACGGGAAGGAGCTGGTGGTGTTCCTCATAGATGCGGGGCCGGACATGTTCCTGCCTTACCAGGACGACCAGGTGTGTCGATATGCTGACTAACCAATCAAATGTCATTTTGAGGCGCCTCAAAGTGGTCTTCCTCATAGGTGCGGGACCGGACATGTTCCGGCCTTGCCACAACGACCACGTATGATGCTCATCCGAATGTTTTCACTTGTATGATGATTAGCCTAGTGCCTTCGCTTCACATTCATGACATTTTTACTGCTATGCTAATGTGTAGCCAATCCAATCTCAACCTTGTCCCGATCTATTTGCTAGCATGCTGTTATGTTCATGACATTCCAAATTCGTGCAGGGGGAGACTGAAGCAGGAGCTAGCTTAGGGACTCAAACCAGTGCGGCCAGCTCAGAGAGGCAGAGAGGAGGGGGGGACATGGGGGGTGCAGGCGAGAGGACGTATTTCGAGGAGGTGGTGCGAGCGCTGGTGGGCGACCTGAAGACAAGAATCATTTCTCGAGAAAGCGACCTCATGTCGATCGCATTTTTCAACACTGTAGGTGGTTTTTTTGGATTGACTTTTACTACAGCTCGCTGGTGGGCGACCTGAAGACGAGGATCATCTCTCGGGAAAGCGACCTCGTCTCGGTCGCATTTTTCGACACGGTAGGTGGTTCAATCCTTTGAACCGAGTAACATGTCAGTTAATCTTAGAATCCTCAAAGCGAATCAGTGAAAAAAAAGGCACATTGTGTTGTTTTTGTTTTCAAATGGCAGCGTGCGAAGAAGAACGTGCAATCGGCGGAGGGCGTGTTTGTGTTCCAGGACAACCAGCAGACCTCAGCTCAGCTCATTCGAGACCTTTCCAGCCTTCCAGGTACCCTTGTGAACTGATTTAAACCCGCTCAATATCTCACCGGTTCCTTCCATTGTGGCCGTCAGCATTTGGCATACGAACATTCTATGCACCTCGGTATTCTCCATTTTTCCAGATATTGTTTGTGACTGGGGACCTGCCCCTGAGACCTGCTTCGTGCAAAAAACGCAGGCCCCACTCTTTCGACCTCCTGTTCTCAATGTTCACTCCTTCAACGGTGAACGCCTGTGAAAGGTGCCTTGTCTTCTGATTCCCGTTATCAAGCTGCCATTCTGCCTTGCTGGCTGTTTTCCAGAGACGTTTGAGAAAGACATTGGGTCGGGCAACTGGCTGAGGGGGAAGGTGAAGCCCCACGACAACCCAATGTGCGTCCTTATTGCGTTACCGGTGCAGCCAGTGTTCAGGGTAACCGGTACTATGAGGCTGTGCTGTCTTAATTGCCATTGGTCCCTGAATTTTACTCAGAATGCTTGGATGCATTCAGTGTATTTCTCGTTGCAGCACACTATTTCAAACTGCCCGACCCATTGTTTCCGCCTCTTTCCGCATCGATCGCCCCTTCTGTGTGTGCATGCATGTGGGGGAGCGTCTCTGGCGACTTGCAGCTCAAACGCCCTGTAGTTCCTCGAACCGAACCACCCACGCTCTCAGCTTTCGCCCTCTGATGTTTGAGTCCACACAAAACAATAGGGTCTTTAACAACCTTCTGCTTATACGCCCTGCACTTTACCCGTTCCTTCAGATCAAATCTCCATTCTTGACATTTATTTTCTTGGTATCTTCTCTTCTTTTCTGTCAGATGGGTCGTTCAAGGTCTTCTACGCACGGGGTACGTCCCATATCCCCGCCAACCTTGTATTCTCATACTTGAGATTCTTGCTTTGCTGTGATTCAAAGCCTGTTGCTTGCATTCCTCCCTCAACCCTCTCTGCACCTCATAATTGCTTGCGTGCATGTATAGTCTGCCTCCCCAATGCCAGCTCTGCATCACGGGAGGTGCTGACGAGCTTGCTTGTATAGAACTGACAGCCGCCCGTTTGAGGCGATTCCCGTTTGGGATGTTCATAATTGTGAACGTTGTCGTCTGCCTTACATCCCCTCTTTTCCCAACCCCAGTTCCACGTCACAGGAGGTGGTGAAGAACGTGTTTCTCTTCACCAATGATGATGACCCCTTTGGAGCCATTCCTGTTGCCCGTTTCTGAGGTTCATATGTTCAAGGGTTACTTTCCCCAATCCCAGCTCCACGTCTCAGGAGGTAGTGAAGAACGTGCTTCTCTTCACCAATGATGATGACCCCTTTGGGGCGGGCGGTGGTCCCTGTTACAGGTGGTCACATGAATGATTGTGTGAATGTGTTCTCGTCGCGTCCCTTCTCCTCTCCCCACCATTAGCTCCACGTCACAGGAAGTGGTGAAGAACGTGCTTCTCTTTACCAATGATGATGATCCCTTTGGGGCGATCACCACCGAGGGAGTGAGGAGCGACATGCGCCGCACCACCATACAGAAGGCCAAGGTGAGATTGGCTGTGTGCCATGCATCCATGTCATCGCATTGCCGCAGCTGGACCTTGCACCAGTTCCTGTCATGCTACCCTTTGTGACCTCTACAATTCGTTTCTACCATTCCCTTCCTTGCTATGGCCCCCCCTCCCTTCCATCGGGGCCTTCGGTACAGGATGCACGGGAACTGGGCATTGCGTTTGACCTCTTTCCTCTCAGCCGCCCAGGGGAGAAGTTCAACGCCAACATCTTCTATGCGGTGAGCTGATTCCACACCCACGCCTCTTTCAAGACGTGCATTGTTATTTGCTTCCTTCAGGATGCGCGCAATTTGGGCATGACCTCTTTCCGCTCAGCCGCCCAGGGGTGAAGTGCAACGCTAACATCTTCTATGCGGTGAGCTGAGCCCCTGCCCATGCGTCTTCCAAGGTGTGCAATATAGTGTGCGTGCTGTGTGCCTCAAAAGTCGCCCATGCGTCTTCCAAGCTGTGCAATATAGTGTGCGTGCTGTGTGCCTCAAAAGTCGCCCATGCGTCTTCCAAGCTGTGCAATATAGTGTGCGTGCTGTGTGCCTCAAAAGTCGCCCATGCGTCTTCCAAGCTGTGCAATATAGTGTGCGTGCTGTGTGCCTCAAAAGTCGCCCATGCGTCTTCCAAGCTGTGCAATATAGTGTGCGTGCTGTGTGCCTCAAAAGTCGCCCATGCGTCTTCCAAGCTGTGCAATATAGTGTGCGTGCTGTGTGCCTCAAAAGTCGCCCATGCGTCTTCCAAGCTGTGCAATATAGTGTGCGTGCTGTGTGCCTCAAAAGTCGCCCATGCGTCTTCCAAGCTGTGCAATATAGTGTGCGTGCTGTGTGCCTCAAAAGTCGCCCATGCGTCTTCCAAGCTGTGCAATATAGTGTGCGTGCTGTGTGCCTCAAAAGTCGCCCATGCGTCTTCCAAGCTGTGCAATCTAGTGTGCGTGCTGTGTGCCTCAAAAGTCGCCCATGCGTCTTCCAAGCTGTGCAATATAGTGTGCGTGCTGTGTGCCTCAAAAGTCGCCCATGCGTCTTCCAAGCTGTGCAATATAGTGTGCGTGCTGTGTGCCTCAAAAGTCGCCCATGCGTCTTCCAAGCTGTGCAATATAGTGTGCGTGCTGTGTGCCTCAAAAGTCGCCCATGCGTCTTCCAAGCTGTGCAATATAGTGTGCGTGCTGTGTGCCTCAAAAGTCGCCCATGCGTCTTCCAAGCTGTGCAATATAGTGTGCGTGCTGTGTGCCTCAAAAGTCGCCCATGCGTCTTCCAAGCTGTGCAATATAGTGTGCGTGCTGTGTGCCTCAAAAGTCGCCCATGCGTCTTCCAAGCTGTGCAATATAGTGTGCGTGCTGTGTGCCTCAAAAGTCGCCCATGCGTCTTCCAAGCTGTGCAATATAGTGTGCGTGCTGTGTGCCTCAAAAGTCGCCCATGCGTCTTCCAAGCTGTGCAATCTAGTGTGCGTGCTGTGTGCCTCAAAAGTCGCCCATGCGTCTTCCAAGCTGTGCAATATAGTGTGCGTGCCGTGTGCCTCAAAAGTCGCCCATGCGTCTTCCAAGCTGTGCAATATAGTGTGCGTGCTGTGTGCCTCAAAAGTCGCCCATGCGTCTTCCAAGCTGTGCAATATAGTGTGCGTGCTGTGTGCCTCAAAAGTCGCCCATGCGTCTTCCAAGCTGTGCAATATAGTGTGCGTGCTGTGTGCCTCAAAAGTCGCCCATGCGTCTTCCAAGCTGTGCAATATAGTGTGCGTGCTGTGTGCCTCAAAAGTCGCCCATGCGTCTTCCAAGCTGTGCAATATAGTGTGCGTGCTGTGTGCCTCAAAAGTCGCCCATGCGTCTTCCAAGCTGTGCAATATAGTGTGCGTGCTGTGTGCCTCAAAAGTCGCCCATGCGTCTTCCAAGCTGTGCAATATAGTGTGCGTGCTGTGTGCCTCAAAAGTTGCCCATGCGTCTTCCAAGCTGTGCAATCTAGTGTGCGTGCTGTGTGCCTCAAAAGTCGCCCATGCGTCTTCCAAGCTGTGCAATATAGTGTGCGTGCTGTGTGCCTCAAAAGTCGCCCATGCGTCTTCCAAGCTGTGCAATATAGTGTGCGTGCTGTGTGCCTCAAAAGTCGCCCATGCGTCTTCCAAGCTGTGCAATATAGTGTGCGTGCTGTGTGCCTCAAAAGTCGCCCATGCGTCTTCCAAGCTGTGCAATATAGTGTGCGTGCTGTGTGCCTCAAAAGTCGCCCATGCGTCTTCCAAGCTGTGCAATATAGTGTGCGTGCTGTGTGCCTCAAAAGTCGCCCATGCGTCTTCCAAGCTGTGCAATATAGTGTGCGTGCTGTGTGCCTCAAAAGTCGCCCATGCGTCTTCCAAGCTGTGCAATATAGTGTGCGTGCTGTGTGCCTCAAAAGTCGCCCATGCGTCTTCCAAGCTGTGCAATATAGTGTGCGTGCTGTGTGCCTCAAAAGTCGCCCATGCGTCTTCCAAGCTGTGCAATATAGTGTGCGTGCTGTGTGCCTCAAAAGTCGCCCATGCGTCTTCCAAGCTGTGCAATATAGTGTGCGTGCTGTGTGCCTCAAAAGTCGCCCATGCGTCTTCCAAGCTGTGCAATATAGTGTGCGTGCTGTGTGCCTCAAAAGTCGCCCATGCGTCTTCCAAGCTGTGCAATATAGTGTGCGTGCTGTGTGCCTCAAAAGTCGCCCATGCGTCTTCCAAGCTGTGCAATATAGTGTGCGTGCTGTGTGCCTCAAAAGTCGCCCATGCGTCTTCCAAGCTGTGCAATATAGTGTGCGTGCTGTGTGCCTCAAAAGTCGCCCATGCGTCTTCCAAGCTGTGCAATCTAGTGTGCGTGCTGTGTGCCTCAAAAGTCGCCCATGCGTCTTCCAAGCTGTGCAATATAGTGTGCGTGCTGTGTGCCTCAAAAGTCGCCCATGCGTCTTCCAAGCTGTGCAATATAGTGTGCGTGCTGTGTGCCTCAAAAGTCGCCCATGCGTCTTCCAAGCTGTGCAATATAGTGTGCGTGCTGTGTGCCTCAAAAGTCGCCCATGCGTCTTCCAAGCTGTGCAATATAGTGTGCGTGCTGTGTGCCTCAAAAGTCGCCCATGCGTCTTCCAAGCTGTGCAATATAGTGTGCGTGCTGTGTGCCTCAAAAGTCGCCCATGCGTCTTCCAAGCTGTGCAATATAGTGTGCGTGCTGTGTGCCTCAAAAGTCGCCCATGCGTCTTCCAAGCTGTGCAATATAGTGTGCGTTCTGTGTGCATCCTGCGTCGATGCAAACTGAAGTTCACGTCAACATCTGTGATAAGCGGGTCCCTCTCTATGTTGTCTTATGAGCAAGGCTGCTTGACCTCTTCCCTCTCAGCCGGCCAGGGGAGAAGTTCAACGCCAACACCTTCTATGCGGTGAGCTCAGTCCCCGCCCATGCATCTTCCAAGACGTGCAGTACAGAGCGCGTGTGTGTGTGCCCCCGTGTGCCTTCTGTGCCGATGCGAACTGTAGTTCGATGGGAACAGCCCGGTGAGCTCAGAACCTGCCCATGTGTCAGGATTGCCGAGTTGGTCTAAGGTGCCAGTTTCAGGTACTGATCTGAAAGGGCGTGGGTTCAAAGCCCTTTCCTTCCATCCAATGCTTTTTGTTCTCCCTCCCTACCCATGCGCCAGGACATGCTAGGCTTTGATGATTCACAACGAGCGGGCTTCCAACCAGAGGAGATCAGGCGAGTGCCTTCACATTCACTCTAGGTTGTACGTGCTCTGTGGTACTTCCTGGTGCAAGTTAGCGTCTGTTTTGAGTCGTCTGTGGTACTCCCGGTATCCCGGTTTCCCGGTTTCCCGATATCCTGGTTTCCCGGTTTCCCGGTTTCCCGGTATCCCGGTTTCCCGGTTTCCCGGTTTCCCGGTTTCCCGGTTTCCCGGTATCCCGGTTTCCCGGTTTCCCGGTATCCCGGTTTCCCGGTATCCCGGTATCCCGGTATCCCGGTTTCCCGGTTTCCCGGTTTCCCGGTTTCCCGGTTTCTCGGTTTCCCGGTTTCCCGGTTTCCCGGTATCCCGGTTTCCCGGTTTCCCGGTTTCCCGGTTTCCCGGTTTCCCGGTATCCCGGTATCCCGGTTTCCCGGTTTCCCGGTTTCCCGGTATCCCGGTTTCCCGGTATCCCGGTATCCCGGTATCCCGGTTTCCCGGTTTCCCGGTATCCCGGTATCCCGGTTTCCCGGTATCCCGGTTTCCCGGTATCCCGGTTTCCCGGTATCCCGGTTTCCCGGTTTCACGGTTTCCCGGTTTCCCGGTTTCCCGGTTTCCCGGTTTCCCAGTTCCCCTGTTTCTCTTTTTCCCGGTTTCCCGGTTTCCCGGTTTCCCGGTTTCCCGGTTTCCCGGTATCCCGGTATCCCGGTATCCCGGTATCCCGGTATCCCGGTATCCCGGTTTCCCGGTTTCCCGGTTTCCCGGTTTCCCGGTTTCCCGGTTTCCCGGTTTCCCGGTATCCCGGTATCCCGGTATCCCGGTATCCCGGTATCCCGGTATCCCGGTATCCCGGTTTCCCGGTTTCCCGGTTTCCCGGTATCCCGGTATCCCGGTATCCCGGTTTCCCGGTATCCCGGTTTCCCGGTTTCCCGGTTTCCCGGTTTCCCGGTTTCCCGGTATCCCGGTATCCCGGTTTCCCGGTTTCCCGGTTTCCCGGTATCCCGGTTTCCCGGTTTCCCGGTTTCCCGGTTTCCCGGTTTCCCCGTGTCCCGGTATCCCGGTTTCCCGGTTTCCCGGTTTCCCGGTATCCCGGTTTCCCGGTTTCCCGGTTTCCCGGTTTCCTGGTTTCCCGGTATCCCGGTTTCCCGGTTTCCCGGTTTCCCGGTTTCCCGGTATCCCGGTATCCCGGTTTCCCGGTTTCCCGGTTTCCCGGTTTCCCGGTTTCCCGGTTTCCCGGTTTCCCGGTTTCCCGGTTTCCCGGTATCCCGGTTTCCCGGTATCCCGGTTTCCCGGTTTCCCGGTATCCCGGTTTCCCGGTTTCCCGGTTTCCCGGGTTTCCGGGTTCCCGGTTTCACGGTTTCCCGGTTTCCCGGTTTCCCGGTATCCCGGTATCCCGGTATCCCGGTATCCCGGTTTCCCGGTATCCCGGTATCCCGGTTTCCCGGTTTCCCGGTATCCCGGTTTCCCGGTTTCCCGGTTTCCCGGTATCCCGGTTTCCCGGTTTCCCGGTTTCCCGGTATCCCGGTTTCCCGGTATCCAGGTTTCCCGGTTTCCCGGTTTCCCGGTTTCCTGGTTTCCCGGTTTCCCGGTTTCCCGGTTTCCCGGTATCCCGGTTTCCCGGTTTCCCGGTTTCCCGGTATCCCGGTTTCCCGGTTTCCCGGTTTCCCGGTATCCCGGTTTCCCGGTTTCCCGGTATCCCGGTTTCCCGGTATCCCGGTTTCCCGGTTTCCGGGTTTCCCGGTTTCCCGGTGTCCCGGTGTCCCGGTTTCCCGGTTTCCCGGTGTCCCGGTTTCCCGGTTTTCCCGGTTTTCCAGTTTCCCGGTTTCCCGGTTTCCCGGTTTCCCGGTTTCCCGGTTTCCCGGTATCCCGGTTTCCCGGTATCCCGGTTTCCCGGTATCCCGGTTTCCCGGTATCCCGGTATCCCGGTTTCCCGGTATCCCGGTATCCCGGTTTCCCGGTTTCCCGGTATCCCGGTTTCCCGGTATCCCGGTTTCCCGGTATCCCGGTTTCCCGGTTTCCCGGTATCCCGGTATCCCGGTTTCCCGGTATCCCGGTATCCCGGTATCCCGGTATCCCGGTATCCCGGTTTCCCGGTTTCCCGGTTTCCCGGTATCCCGGTATCCCGGTTTCCCGGTTTCCCGGTTTCCCGGTTTCCCGGTTTCCCGGTTTCCCGGTATCCCGGTTTCCCGGTATCCCGGTTTCCCGGTATCCCGGTTTCCCGGTTTCCCGGTATCCCGGTTTCCCGGTATCCCGGTTTCCCGGTATCCCGGTTTCCCGGTTTCCCGGTTTCCCGGTTTCCCGGTATCCCGGTATCCCGGTTTCCCGGTATCCCGGTTTCCCGGTATCCCGGTTTCCCGGTTTCCCGGTTTCCCGGTTTCCCGGTATCCCGGTTTCCCGGTTTCCCGGTTTCCCGGTTTCCCGGTATCCCGGTTTCCCGGTATCCCGGTATCCCGGTATCCCGGTTTCCCGGTTTCCCGGTTTCCCGGTTTCCCGGTTTCCCGGTATCCCGGTTTCCCGGTTTCCCGGTTTCCCGGTTTCCCGGTATCCCGGTTTCCCGGTATCCCGGTTTCCCGGTATCCCGGTTTCCCGGTTTCCCGGTATCCCGGTATCCCGGTTTCCCGGTTTCCCGGTTTCCCGGTATCCCGGTATCCCGGTATCCCGGTATCCCGGTATCCCGGTATCCCGGTTTCCCGGTTTCCCGGTTTCCCGGTTTCCCGGTATCCCGGTATCCCGGTATCCCGGTTTCCCGGTATCCCGGTTTCCCGGTTTCCCGGTTTCCCGGTTTCCCGGTATCCCGGTTTCCCGGTATCCCGGTTTCCCGGTTTCCCGGTTTCCCGGTTTCCCGGTTTCCCGGTATCCCGGTTTCCCGGTTTCCCGGTTTCCCGGTTTCCCAGTTTCCCCGCATCCCCGCATCCCCGCTTCCCCGCTTTCCGGCTTCCCGGCTTTCTTCTTAGTCAGAAACTGCCTGTTCTCCCACTCCTTACATACTCTATCAGACTGAACAACTAACTTTTCTCTCTTCCACCTCCCTCGGCTCTTGAGTCAACTTAAAAGTCGAGCGCTCTTAAAAGTCAGGCTGAGCGACCTGCAGCAGCAGCTGCGCAAGAAGGTAAATTGCAGGCGAATGGTGACGCGAGTCATGTTCTCCTGACATGCCTGCCTGGTCTTCCTGTCTGCCTCACCCCTAGCCTCTCCTGTCTGTCTCTCTCCACGCCTCACCAGGCTTAGCGACCTGCAGCAGCGCCTGCGCAAGAAGGTGTACCGAAAGCGAATGGTGAAGCGAGTCATGTTCGCCGTGGTGCCTCACCTCCACATCGCCCTCTCCTCCTACGCTCTCATCCGCCCTGCCAAGATCCGTAAGTTACCTTGCATTAGCCCCTGTTATCGTCGCTGCCAGCCTCCCTGTTAGCAATCCACCCTCCCAGCCTCTTCTCCATGGTGCCTCACCTCCTCACCTCCACACCTCCACACCTCCACACCTCCACATCGCCTTCTCCTCCTACACGCTCATCCGTCCAGCCAATATCCGTGCGGCATTCCCTCCTTATGCCGTGCTTCCCCTCTCTTGTTTCACGTCTCCTTGATTTGAACCACCAAATCCTTCAGAATGTCCTTTCTCACGTCCATGCCAAATAAGCAATCCATCCTCCCAGCCTCTTATCGCCCTTGCCCCACCTCCACATCACCCTCCTCTCCTCCTATGCTCTCATTAGTCCATACCAAATCAGCTTTGCCTTGCCTCCGCTTCTTTTTCTCCCCTAGTCCGTCACCCCATTCCATTGTAGTGCCGGAAGGCCCATGCTGAACTGCAACAGGAATGAAAATTCATTGTGTCGGCCACGTGAACAAAGAGGTGTTTTGAGACGTCTCATAACACTTCTTTCTTCTGCCACCTCATTCCATTGTAGCACTGGAAGGCCCGTGCTGAACTGCGACAGGAATGAAACCTCATTGTGTGGGCTCTCACTGCTGTGTGTGCAGAGAAGCAAGTGTATGTGAGGGCCGTGGACAATCGCACAGTGAAGGTGAGGGGAGCAGGGGAAGAGAAGGGAGCAGAGGAGACGTGCATTGGGGAGGGGAGGGAAAGGGTTGAATGTTGAAGTGCACTGGGGGGTTGACATGAAAGGATGGGAAAGAGGGGGGGGGGAGGAGGAGGGAGGGTTAATAGAACCATATGTAGTGTGGGTTGAGCTTGCAATGAGTTACAACGCTTGAGCTGGAGGGTGCATGGGAGAGCAGCATAACAGCACGCGTCAATCTGCGCATGCGTGTACCTGCACGCGTCAATCTGCGTGCATGTATTGGCATGCATGTGCCTGCATGCATCCATGTCATTGTGCGTGCACACATTGATGCAGGTAGAGACGGCCCTGGTGTGTCAAGACACAGGAGCAGTGCTGCACGGCCCGTTGCCGCGCTACCAGCCCATGCCTGGCGGGTAGGTTCGGGAAGGTAGCTTCGGATCTGCATCGGCCAGATGTTCAAACGTTCGCCCTACCTCTTCCTTTGTCATCGTGCACCATGCTTCAGCAGCCATCCACCATCCTTCCACCATCATTCCACCAACCTCCGACCACGTGAAGGCTGTTTGTCTCCAAGACCTGCTGCTGCGTGTCTGAGTGTCTATGTGTGTCCATTTGTCCGTGTGCCACTGACTCCCTTCGTGCGCCTCTGTCTGCCTGCGTTCAATCGATCCCCTTTCCTGCCAGCTCGCGCATCATCATGGCAAAGGCAGAGGTGGACCAGGTGAAGGCGGTGTGCCCTCACGACCTGACGCTGCGTGTCTCTGTCTGCCTAGCTCCCTCCCCTGCGCTTCTGTCTGCCTGTTTTCGATCGCCCCTCTATCTCCCCTGCCAGCTCGCGCATCATCATGGCGAAGGCAGAGGTGGACCAGGTGAAGGCGGTGTGCACTCACGACCTGCTGCTGCTGGGCTTTAAGCCCCTCCACTGCCTCAAGGACTACCACAACCTGCAGCCGCCCACCTTCCTCTTCCCAGACGAGGAGGTGATTATTTCTATGCATGTCAGAGTTGAGATCTCTCAAGCCACGACCTGCTGCTGCTGGGCTTTAAGCCCCTCCTCTGCATCAGGGTTCATCACAACCTTCGGCCACGAAACTGTGTGCGCGTGTGGATGTGTGCGTGTGCGTATGTGTGTGTGTGCGTGTGTGCATGTGTGCATGTGTGCATGTGTGCGTGTGTGCGTGTGTGCATGTGTGCATGTGTGCATGCGTGTGTGTGCATGTTTTCATGCGTCTGTGCATGAGTGCGTGTGTGTGTGTGCCCATCCCGCCAGACCCTCTCGGGCAGCACTGCAGCGTTCATAGCCCTGCACAACGCAATGCTGGATGCAAATAGGTGAGTGGGCAGGGGCGGGATGAGTACTTTCCAGGCTCCTTGCTTTCTTCTCCTGGGCCTTCTTTGCCTCTCTTGCGTCCTGCCTCTCGCTACCACGTCCATGCCATCACATCACACTGTCTAACTTCAAGCTCTTGTTACTCATGGTTTTCGTACTCTTCCTCCTCCTCTTCCTCCTCCTCCTCCTCCTCCTCTTCCTCCTCTTCCTGCTCCTGCTCCTCCTCCTCCTCCTCCTCCTCCTCCTCCTCCTCCTCCTCCTCCTCCTCCTCCTCCTCCTCCTCCTCCTCCTCCTCCCTCCTCCCTCCTCCTCCTCCTTCCTACCCACCCCAACACGCACATGCATCAACCAGCTTTGCACTGGCATGTTGGCCCAACATCGGCTTGCCACGCCTCATCCCCCCCTCATCCCTCTCCCACACCCTCTCAACCCCAACACGCACATGCCATCAATCAGCTTTGCACTGGCGTGTTGGCCCAACATCGGCATGCCACACCTCTTCCCCCCCATCCCCCCCATCCCCCCCCCTCATCCCCCCTCGCCAAAACCTCTCACCCCAAACACGCACATGCCATCAACCAGCTTTGCTTTGGCGTGTTGGGCCAAGATCGGCATGCCACGCCTCGTTGCCATCCTTCCCCAGGTGAGCCGTCTTCAGTTGCTTTATAGATGATGGGGTATATTTCATGATTCAATCGTTTCACCAGCTCCCATCTTGAAGAATTCGTACCCTGCTGATTCTTGAGTTGAGCTGCAAATTATAATGATACTTCTTGGTTATCAAAAGTTGTTCATGACCCTCTTTTTTTAGGTCATGGTTTGTTTGGTTTCTGGTGGATTGCATAACTCCAGGATTTGTGCATACTGCTCTCTTGGATCAGGTGGTGTCGCATCCATTCCATCCACTCCACATGTCTATTCTTCCCATCCACGGCTGGTGCAGCAAGAGCAGGTGGACGAGAGTGGCACGCAGGTGCAGCCGGTAGGGTGGCACATGATTCCTCTTCCCTTTTATGACGACATTCGACCAGCAGAGAAGGTGAGAGCGGCTGAGAAGGTGAGTTGTGAGAGGGAAGGCTCTTTTCTTGTGCAAGCAGGTGCAGCCAGCAGGGTGGCACATGATCCCACTCCCGTTCTATGACGACATTCGACCCGCCGAGAAGGAGAGCTTTTGACATGTGAGGGGCCACGGAGGTGCAAGGGAATGTTTGTTGCTTGTGCTATCTGCCGCAGGTGCAGCCAGCAGGGTGGCACATGATTCCCCTGCCCTTCTGTGGACACACCTGACCAGCAGAGCAGGTGAGCTTTGAGGGGGAACGCTCCTTTCTTGTGCTATCCAGAGCAGGTGCAGATGGCAGGGTGACACATGATCCTTCTTGCACTCATCTCTGTGCCCATCCCCCTCTCCCCACTCTGCCATGCCTCTCCACTCCCTCGCGCTCCACCATCCCCTTTCTTGGCCCCCCTGCGGCACTGCTTCCCCGCCACCACACCCACAGTACGCCCATTGGGTGCCAGGCCACGGTGCAAAGGACGTTGGGGGGGACGGGGAGCAGGAGGGCAGAGGAGGGGAGGTGGTATCTGCACCGAGGGCGAATGCAGAGCAGGTGGCAACTGCCACAACGCTCATGCGCTACATGCACCTCAAAGAGTTTAGCCCACTCAACATTCTCAATCCTGGTGCGGTCCCCGTCACACCCTGGTCCCTCACATCCCGGTTTTGCGTGGCGTGTACATGAGTTTGCACGTGTGGACAGAGCGGCCGTCACATGGCACATGCACACTTGTAGGAGTTTCGGCCCTCTCAACATTCTCAACTCAATGCTCCATGCTGGATCCTTCCTTCCCCATTCTCCCCACTGCAGTCATCCAAACGCACTCCATGCTGGAGGCCATAGCGCTAGACCTGCCAGAGGTGAAGCCTGTGGTTGACACCACCCTGCCTTCCCCCTTCTCCCCCGCCTCAAGTACCTTTCCTTTCCTGCTCCTTCGTCATTCAGACGCACTACTCCATGCTGGAGGCCATAGCGCTGGACCTGCCAGAGGTGGAGCCAGTGGTAGACACCACCCATACTGTCCCTGCTCTCTCTTTCTTTCCCCTCCCTTCGCCCTGCAGTCATCCAAACGCACTACTCCATGCTGGAGGCCATTGCGCTGGACCTGCCAGAGGTGGAGCCAGTGGTAGACACCACCCATACTGTCCCTGCTCTCTCTTTCTTTCCCCTCCCTTCGCCCTGCAGTCATTCAGACGCACTACTCCATGCTGGAGGCCATTGCGCTGGACCTGCCAGAGGTGGAGCCAGTGGTAGACACCACCCTGCCGGACCACTCCATCTTTCAGCCGCCTCAGACCGACACCAACCAACCCCCGAGAAAAGGGTGTGTTTCATTCCTATCTCTCGTCTCATGTGTGCTTATTTGTGAGTAATTATAACCCGTGCTGAGGTGTGTTATGGGGGGTGGTGATGTGGGATGATGAGGCTGACTGAGGTTTCCTTGTGGGTCCTTGTTCCAGTGCTTCTCTTTTGTTCATTTGTTTGTTTGCTTGCTTTCATGTACGGCCGACTTTTATGTGTGCAGGAAAGCTGCTCGTGCAACTGCGGCTTTAAGGCATTTCAAGGATGCAGTGTATGGCGCGGGTCATGAAGAGGAGGAGGCAGAGAAAGCCGCTGCAGCTCGAGCCAAGGCAGATGCTGCTGAGAAGAAACGCAAGGCTACTTTCGACGCCGCTACTGCTAAGGCTGGTGTTGTGGATTGGCGAGGCCTCGCTGAGAAAGGAAAGGTGAGTAAACATGATGGAAGTGAGGGGATGAGTTTGTTTTATTGATGGGCAGGAGTATGACAGGTGGGTGGTTGTGGGAAAGATGAGTTTTGATGTGTTTCTTTGTTATCCTTATGCAGCTGGACACTTTGACAAACGAGGAGCTGAAGGGATATCTCAGAATGCACAACCTTCCCCTTACAGGTCGGAAGGCAGAACTAGTGGAACGCATTAAAGAACATCTGGACCAGTCATAACTCATATATGGTTTTGCAGTACAAAAATCTGCAACGCTCAGCTTCTTATGGGGTATGCGTGAAGTGGATTCAGTGAATCTGCTGAGATCAGTGAGTTGTTCCAATCTCAAGGGTGCGGAAGGCAAGATTGGTTGGCATCCAATCAGAGCATTTTGTCAGCCCCCACGCAGGAGCTTGTTGGGCCACATATCATCCAACAGCAGTCTCGTTCCAACAACCTCGAGGGACCAACTGTCGCTCGTGCAGTTTTGATTGGTGCATTATGTGCTGCGACGTCTGTTGCGACGGTACAAAAATGCGACGTGCCCCGCTGGCCCATTTTGGCGGTAGTGCGTGCACCAACCAAGTGCCCTGCCCATGAATAGCGACTCGGCGACCCTGGTTGTCGAATATTTTCGCTCACCGGTTACCAGTTCGCAACTATCATTCTTGTGGCTGACGATTTCATGGTCCACCCATCTAACTGGAGCTCTGCGAAATTCCGTATGGAAGGCGAAAGCGGGAAGGCGGTTGTGCGCCCCTTGCAGCATATCGGCGACTAGCGTGCGATTTTGTCTGACAACCCTGCTGTCTGGAAAGACAAACACCCGCCTTACCTCTTAACACAGAGCGGTGGAAAGCGTTGCACATCGGTTCTGGAGTCTCTACAGCATAGTGTCGAGATCTCTAGGGTTGGGATGGGAGATAGAGCGTGGAACATCCTTTTGAACAAGGCGATGGTCGCCCAACAGCGACAGTAACCATTGTTGCGACCGTCGCCATTGACCTACGAAGCAGACTGACGAAGGCTGCCTGAAGAACGCACGTTCACAGCTTATGCTTCTTGGTCGCCCCACCCGTTAAACCTCGCAGATAAGACAAGAAGTGGCGACGTCAGGAAAAACATGCGAAATGAAACCAGGTGTTGTCGTAAGTGACGTGCTGCGACCCAATTTGTAGCACGGTGTTTGACGAAGTGGGCGCTTTCGTGTATCATCGCGACTCTGTATTTCTGGGCGACCAAGTGTTTCCAACTTGGGATATGGGGTTTTGCGTGTTACCTGACGAAAACCATTGACGAGACAAATGTTCGACCAGAGAGCCGACGGGGACACTTGTTCACAAGGATGTTCCACGCTCTTAGCGGCCTATCATCCGAATCGGCCAAAATTTGCAGGTGTCGCCTGTTGGAGCTAGTCGCTACCCAACGTCGCGCGTGAAGTGGGCATTCTAATTCTCGTAATATTATTATTTCGTGGCAATTTTAGTCGGAATTGCAGAATGGCTGGTTCCACGATTACGTACTCGTAATACTCGTAACGCCATGTTTTTCGGCTTTATGACCTAGTTTTTAGGTTAATTACGCACGCGATATGACTATCGTCTAGGAAATCGTGTTCTTCAGGCAGAGGATCATTCCAGACATATTGCACAAAGTCAGCTCTGGGAGAGAACCTAGTATCGAGCACGAAGTGTAACGAGCAGGAAGGGGAACGCGCAACCGCGCCTTCATGGAGTCCCCGCCGTCCCCGCCGTCCCCATCCGACGCCCTTCTTCTCCGCCAGGGCGGTAAGCCTCTTCCGCCCGCCTCTCAATGCTTCCCCTGGCGGCCCCACCATTTCTCCGCGCGCCTCACTCCGCACGGCGCTTCCTCCCCGGGCGGAAGTTCCGCCGTCCCCCACGCGCGCGGAGGCACGCCGACGTGCTACGGCACGGCGGGCAGTCCGCTCCCCTTCGCGCGAGTCCTCGAGCTCATGGCCAGGCGCCGGCGCGCCCGCAACGGCAGCGGCGGCGGCGGCGGCGGCGGCGGAGGAGGAGTAGGAGGAGTTGGCGGCGGCCGGCACGGTAGCCGGCAGGGCGGTGGGAGGACGCCGGTCAACAGTCAGCGGCGCCACGTGTCAGTCACAGGCTGGAAGCAGCATTCTCTTGACAGGGAGGGACCAGGTGAAAGCAGCAACGGTAAAGACGGCAGCAGCAGGGAAAAGTACCGCACGAGTAGCGCCAGAGACAGCTGCAGGGATAGCGATACGGGCAGCGGCAGCGGCAAGGGTAGCGGCAGAAGTAGTAGCAGCAGTCGTTCCCGTAGCGCGAGCGCGTCGCCTCGCCACAGGACGTCGGGCGTTATAAAGGAGCCAGCGGGGAGCTCTATAACGGACATGAGAGCAGTTAGAGCGGACTTGAATAAAAGGTTGGAGGAGTGCCGAGCGCAGCAGGCGAGTCATGGCAGCACGGACAGGCAGGATAGGGTTACTGGCGCGGGGAAAGGGCGCGGGGAGGCGGGAGGCGCGGACAGGGCGGAAGCGCAAGCGCGCGCGGTACAGGCGGAAGGGGTGAGTGGAAAACTGGAAGATTTGGCGCAGCGCGCGCGGCTGGCGGAGGCGCAGGTGGACATGGCGGAGTTACAGGCGCAGGTGGTGTGCGCGGAGCTGCAGTGGATACGGAGCGCCGTGGAGAGGCAAGAGGCGGGCGTAGCCGCCGTGTTGGCGGAACTGGCGGGGCTGCGCCAGCGCGTGCACCGCGCGCGCAAGGGCGCGGAGGGGGAGGATGGCGGGGACAGGGCGCAGGAGTCCGGGGAAGGGAAGATGCGCGAGGTGCAGCAGGTGGAAGCGGCTGTAGCGTCGGCGGAGGCGCGGCTGTGGCGGGTGGAGGCAGCTGCTGCTGATGCGCGCGCTTCACTCATTGCCCTGGGGGGAGAGGCGGGGGAATTGGGGGAATTGGGGGGAATTGGGGCGAGGGAAGTGTATGGTGAGTGGTGGTGCGAGGCTGGGCTGGGAATGGAGCGAGTGGGAGGCGCGGTAGGGATGGGGGTGGGGTGTGGTGGGGAGGTGTGTGGAGGGGTGAGAGGGTGTGCGGGGCTTGAGGGGTACGGTGTGGGGGAGGTGGGTATGAGCGCAGCAGAATTTGCTCTGGAGCTGCAGAGACGGTTAGAGGAAGTTCAAAAGGAGTTGGTGGGCAAGGGGCAGGGGCACAGAGTGGTGCAGGAGAAGGAGGGGCGTGGAGGAGTGGAGGGCGCAGGTGGGGAAGCTGTTGGGGCTGGGGGAGCTGGCGGAGCTGGGGGGGCTGGGGGAGCTGGGGGAGTTTCGCTCTCAGTGGAAGGAAAGGGGGAGCAGCCAATGGTGGAGGGAACAGAGCGAGTGAGAGAGGTTGAGCAGGCTGCACGTGGTGGGGTTGAAACAGGTGGACTGACCGATTTTGAAGAGGCTTGCGACAAAGGGACAACAGAGCTCAAGCATGGGACGGATTGCGAATTGCTGTTGGGAAAACAGGCTAGATCGGAAGACGTTAAGCGGGATGGAGAGGTGGTGAGACCGGAAGAGGAGGCAGGATTGGGCAATGGAGATTTGAGGTTCTGGGATAGAATAAACGGGGAGAGCAAGCTGCTGGGGGGTGGGGGAGGGTATGGAGGTGTTCAGGGAGCTGCTGCTGATTCGGGCAGTGCGAAGGATATCCACGTGAACATTGGTCTCACAAGCTCAGCGCCAATATTGGCATCGCAAGCACGCGTTAACTCCGCAACCCAAATGCACCAGAACCAGTTGTGTGTGAGCAAAGTACGCCAGTGGCAGCCGGTGTCGAGAACAGAGGACCAAGAAGAGGCCAAGATTCTTCGGGATGCTATGGAGTATCTTAAGAAGGAAGTCGAGCGAGCACAGAAAGCAGCACCACCATTGGGTGCAATATGAGCTGCATTGAATTGGAAAAGAAATTCCTGATGTATTGTCTAGTGTAAATATGCGCTGTTCTGCAATTTATGTACTCCATGCACTTCCCATTTCGCGCCAACAAAGTGTGCTTGTTTTGAAGCTTGACCAAAATTCACGCCGGAATCGCCGGGGTGATTGCCAAACCACCTCCTTGTAGGTAGGTTCGACTGTTCACCGATGTACCTTTAGCACGCAGCAGGCACGCGCCCTCGACTCACGCGGCGGAAAAAGGCATCCATGCATCCAACACACAAGGGCAAAAGGTCAGCACCGGCCCACGTGGGAAATTCACGTCGCGTCTGGACTGATTGTACACGTCATTGTTGAACTTGTAGTGGTGGATGATCTGCGTCATTCCTGCCGCAATTTCCGTGCGGTTCTCTCAACCAGTGCAGGCCTGGCAAGCGACCGACAATCGGCGACGAAATCAGGGTTGAGACTGGAGCAACCTGTACATCGCAGAATCGCAGGCGTCAATGCCACCTGTCGCTCGGATAATCGCAGAGCGCAGAAAGTAGATTGTGCTCAAATTGCACAAACACATCAGCACCAGCATCAGCGGCACTCGGGGCTGTGGATTCATGATCCGTCATGAACCAAAAAACACACTTTGACCAGTCCAGAGAGCTCTTCACCGCGCTGTCTCCCTCACCGAGCAGCAAGTATCTTATCGGCTGAGCTGAAAAAAGCACTCACCCACCCCTCGCTTGAATTTTGTGCCTCATCCATAGTTGGTTTGAATATCACGTCCTCGTTCTCGAATCTCGACACTTGAATTTGGATGTCCCTGCTGAATATCCTCCCCAGCTGGCTAGCACCACCAAACCAGACACTGGCATCACACACCCTCGTCTATACCCAGGACATCGATTTTCGATAGAATTTTCTCCTTCACAATTTTGTCACGCCATGCTGCTAGTATATTCCTCCCTGGTCAGGCATAGCCCACTTAGACTAACAACGCATGGCGAGAAGCTCCCTCGCTCGTTGCCAAGGCAGAGGAACTCCGGTGTCGTACTTCGTAGACGTGGTTCAGTAGTCAGGGCTTCCCTTGCAGTGCAACCAGAGAGACGGAAAAGAGCTTCAGACTGTTACGCTATCTTGGGACTGACTGCACAAGCAGGAGCAGATGAGATTCGACAAGCTTACAGACGACTCGCACGCATTGTACGAAATCTTCATGCTGCCCACAGTTTCGAATTTGTTCTGCTTTTGGGTCCAATCCCTTGACTCCTCTCGCTTGCCCTCTGTGCAGTATCATCCTGACACTAACTCATCAGAAGACACAGTACCGAAGTTTCTAGAAGTTCACGAAGCGTATAAGGTCAGTCCCCATGGCATTCAGCGACGAGTGTGTGTGTATATTCCCCCTCGTCCTCCCTCGCTCTTCCAATCAGCTCTTGCAATGGTCCTGAACGATAGCACCTGTCACTGCAGATTGCTTTGCGGCGACAAGAGAGAGCCCAGGCAAAGGCTCTTCTAGAATCTCAGTCTCCACAAAAAAACTCCAGGCCACTCAAAACCGCCGGAAAGCCACGCAGAAGAGAAGACTGGGATGATATTTGGGACGACATTCTGGGATCCACCACGCAAAGGAAGACTCCAAAACGGCAATGATGGAGCTCAGTAGTGCACTAAGTTCTACATGCCAGAAAGAATCTCGGCGCTTGTACAGGTTGAACTGGTCACAAGGAAGTGACGCAGTTCATGCAACGTATACGCGTGTTGAAATGCAAAACCAATATTGTATTCTATGTCATCTAGGCGTTATTCGTTTAGGGTTTAATGATGTATGTCATAAGATAATGTGAGCATGAGTTATATTACAGATACTTCCTGCAGGAAAGCACTCCTGCTTTCAAACCTGGTGATAACCTGTGTTATGGTACTTTGAATTCACGGTTCCATTCCATGCATAGCTTGGATTGCTGTAGGCACGCCAGGGTATCTGGTGGTGTCAGCAAGCTTGCGAAGGAATGGGGAAAGGGGAGTTGAATGACAGTAGTTAGCTACCTCTGTTTTGGTGGAAGGTGCTGTGCAAATTGGCCACTTCAGCAATATCATATTTGCCATGTATCTCATACGGTATTGTGGGATTGCCCTTGGTATTTTTGCCTACTGTATACCTATGATGATCATCATTTTTCAGTCAAATAAAAAAACAATGTGAGAATGTTGGTGTGGAGGAAAGAGCTATATATGGCATTCTAGAATATGGAAGTGTAGCATGAAGTGATGTCAATTACCACTGTTTTTTGCGTTGGAGTCGCGCGTCGCGACGCGTGCTACACATCCCAGGATGTCCTCCAGACTGAAATTTCTCAATTCCTCCTGGTGCCCTTGGTTTCGACCAGCAACAGAGCGGTAAATCAACCCGCGCGTGCTTGCCCAAACCAGTCTTCAAACCTGCCCGACCCACGTCTGGGCACGTCTTTGCCCAGAGCAGACACGTTTCAGAGTTCAGCCCGTGACTTCCGAAACGAAGCTACAGTGCCAGCGTCATTCTTGCCGCAATCTGGGGAACAGAATTTTCGGGTCTCTTTCAGTGTGCTGGCAGCTTGAATTGTGGTTTTTTTCCCGTGACTGGAGGCGGCTCCGTTCTTCGGTCGACTGCGTGGGCTGGGCAGCTGGAACGAACTGGAAGCACTTGGTGGATGTGGCTCGAGGAAGTGCATGGATGTGCGACACTCCACACGGCACGGAAGTGACACCGCCAGTCAGTCAAACCGACTGTCAAGGGATGTGCTGAGCGGCTCTGAGAGGCTTAGAGCGGTTAGTAGTAGTAACATGGTGGTGCACGTAGGGAAGGCCAGGTGGATAGGGTGAAGATGAGAGAGCAAACTGGAGAGGACGTCTGAAAGTGAGTCGGCTGATGTGGATGAAGTGGCAGTGGTGGTGGCCTTGAAATAGCACCATCATCCATTGTTCTCCGATCAATCCTGCTTTCTATCAACTGAATCCTGATCAGTCCTGACATTTTCAAAATCCTTAAAAATAATAGTGCAAGCGGACTAGAGTGCTCTTCAGCTGACTATCCCGTCCACTCGCATACTAAACTAATTCTGGTAGACTGGTACCAGGCCTTCGCTTGTCAATCGACGACCCATTAATTCCATCACTCACTCCAGTCAATTCCTACGTTCCAGAGCTAGTCGGTAGTCTATCAGGCATTCGTTACTTTAGCTCCAGGGCAATGGCTCTTTCCGCCTCGCCGCTCCTGTCTTCACCGGCGAAGATGCCATCTCAGTCCAGACTAGACGGCCAGAGTCCCTTCAAATCATCCCCTCCAACCGCTCGACGATTATTCGTAGAAGCTCGGATAGCAGTGGCTCCTGAGCGACGACGAGCCGCGCCGAACTGTTTCACCGTTCTGGGAGTCCCGGCCAGTGCCGGAGCCGACGAAATTAGACAAGCATACAGACGACTCGCGCGCATTGTAAGCACACCCGCTCAAACATTCATTGCGCACTCTCCCGCTCGCCCGCATAACCGCTTTGTCGTCTCTCCCGACCACCCGAGCACCATAACGAATGCTGACGCTCATCTCGTGAATTGTTTGCTTTGCAGTATCACCCCGATGCCAGTGGCGCTGAGGACACGACGTCCATGTTTCTGGAAATCCACACCGCTTATAAGGTAAGCGCGAGCGGTTGCGTCTCAACAATTCTGCTCTATATCCTATCATTGTCCAAGGCAAATCCCATATACGTACAGAGCATGCACTAATCCGCTTTCATCACTCCGTTCTGTTATCTGCAGTCCGCTCTCAAGCTTCAGGAGAGACGACAAGCCAAGGCATCCATGGCGTCGACGTCAGAAGCCGCCGTCAAGCCGTCCCCGTCCTCTCAAAAAACCCCGCAAAGACCCGCCAGGAGAAGAGACGATTTCGACGACATTTGGGACCTAATGGGTGCGTCGCCTCGTCGGCAGGCATCTCCGCGGAGACAGACCACTCCCAAACACGTTTAAAGCCTTTGAACGGCGGTTAGACAGTATGTTCGCTCGGTCCGAACGTCATGACGTCACCACGTCCACTGGCTTTAGAGCCTCTGTACAAACGCCGTTTTGAGGACGTGGACTTACCTTAGACGAGTTGCTAGCTAGCTGTAGAGTGCCCGTGGTGCGTTATAGCAAACCGGTCTCGCGTAGAAGGGTCTCTTAGGTTACCTGCAAGGCCCTGCTTCCGCACCCAACGGCTGTTGGGCGAGTTGCAACTTCACGCAGGGTAGAATAGTAGGAAAAGGACACTTAGGAAAGAGCTTATACACCTGGATTGTTTTACCAGGTATAGTTTCAGTGCAGTTACCGAAGATGATGCTCTTGTTTGTAAGCAATATCATTATTCATTCATACTTATGACGTGGCTCATCGCTGTAAGCGCGTCCTTGCAATGCAACCTACCTAATGAGCTGTGATTAGATTGGCAAGGCCCGTCGTATGGCAGCTAGCTAATTGCGCTGGACTTGTTTGCACAAGGCCCAGTTTGGCAGGCATTATTGTCAGAATCCCAGCCACTAACCACTGGGATAAAAGGGCTTGTTTGTGTAGCGGGTGAGTGCGCCCATAACCCCCCAGGCCAACATGCCTGTAACCCTTCCCTAGGATCATCGGGGATCTCCAGTGGACCTCTGACACCCCCCCGCACTGGGATGCCCGAGGTGCACACACCGGGATTCGAACCCGAGACCTTCGCTCTGATACCATGTCAGAATCCCAGCCACTAACCACTGGGATAAAAGGGCTTGTTTGTGTAGCGGGTGAGTGCGCCCATAACCCCCCAGGCCAACATGCCTGTAACCCTTCCCTAGGATCATCGGGGATCTCCAGTGGACCTCTGACAATTATGGCCATTATGGCCATAATGGGCATTTTTAACGGGCCCCCAAAAAATGCCGCCTGGGCATTTCACGAAACAGCTTCGAAGTCGAATCGTAGCTGCAGAGCACATTCGGAAGAAAAGGGGTTGAGTGTTTGGTTGGCATTCTTTGGGTGTAGATTGATGGCATCAATCGACATTTAGGGTTTCGCAGAAGATGGGAGGCAGTGTCAAATGTTGGTAGCCTGTAGTGAGATGTGTCTTTGGGGGTACGTATGTTAGGGTTTGCTACTTGTACCCCAACCACCATCAATGAAACAACACTTCCGATCTTGAGATGGTATCACCTAGGTTAGGATCCTGTAGGATCCCGTTCCTCCCGACCTCGTTCGTATCGCCCGAGCCTGTCTCCCTCTCTCGTATTACTTACGCACGTCTTGCCCGAGCCTAGCGCCGGCCCGCTCTCGTCCCGTTCCTTCGTTACCGCACGTTCCGCCGATCCCCTACTCGAGTAGCGTAGCGACCTTCCTCCCCCCTGCTGGCCCATCGCGTTTTCCCCCCTCCGAGGCCCGTCGAGTCGCGTTTTTCCCCCCGCTGCCCGTCGAGTCGCGTTTTTCCCCCCGCTGCCCGTCGAGTCGCGTTTCCCCCCTTGCTGCCCGTCGAATCGCGCTCTCCCCGCCCGTCGTCCCGTCGCCCGTCCCCCCCTTACGCGCGCCACCGCTGCGCATTCCCCCGTCGCCCGCCGCAGCCTGCGCCCGTCGCCGCGGCGCCCGCCGTCGCTGCCCGCCGTGGCGCCCGACGTCGCGCCCGCAGCCTGCGCCCGTCGCCGCGGCGCCCGCCTTCGCTGCTCGTCGCGTCGCGCGCGCGACTGCCCTTAGCCCCCGCGCGGCTCCCCCTTAACGCCCGCCCCCGCGCCCGCGCGGCTGCCCTTAGCCCCCGCGCGGCTGCCCCTTAACGTCCGCCCCCGCGCCCGCGCGGCTGCCCTTAGCCCCCGTACGGCTGCCCCTTAACGCCCCCCCCGTTTAGCTGCGCCTCTACCTCGTTTAGGGTTTCACGCTTCGCCCTTTGCCCGCCCGATTTTCGCCACGCCATCTCGTTTAGGGTTTCCTGCCTCCGCTTTTCCGTCGGTTTTAACGATGGCGACTCCGCGTGTTCTTCGCTTCGACGCTGACGGTAGACCCCTTGACTTTTCGCTCTGGCTTCTGCGCGCTCGCCGTCAGTTGGAGAGTCAGGTCCAGTCAGGCGAGACCCTCTGGGCGCACGCTGCTGGTGCCCTCCCTGCGCCCCCCGACCCTACGCCTTTAGGTCCTGCCCCTGACGACGCCGCTAGAGCTCGCTTCGCTATCCAGCACGCTGACCTGACAGCCTGGACGTCGCGTGACGCTGCGGCCTGCATCGCGCTCAGCACCCTTCTCCCCGAGTCTGAGGAGGCTCACTTTGCTCAGGTTCGCACTGCTGCTGAGTACCTGACTGCGATTAAGGCCCGCTACTCCACTCCTGCTGCTGTCTCTCTTGGCCGCCTTTTCCTCCCGTTCCTGTTCCCTGATCTCGCCTCTTTTGAGCGCTCTGCTGACTTGATTGCTCACCTCCGCTCGCTCGACTCTAGTTACCGCGCTGCTTGCACTGAGGCCCAGCTCGCACTGCTTCCTCCTCCCATGGCGATTACTATCTATTTTATCGCCACCAGCCTCCCCGACCGCCTTGCCTCCGTTCGTGACGCGCTTCTCCTGAAGCACCCTAGTGAGCTCACTGTTGACGTCCTTGAGTCTGCTCTCAAGGACGTCGAGAGCAACCTCCGCTCCGTCGCCGCTGCCTCTGGTGCTGTGCCCCCTCCGCTCTTCCACGGGTGCACAGTTCCGCAGTTGCCCACCTTTACTGCCTCTCTCGCCACTGCCGCTACTGACGCGACCGCAGCTGCTGTTACGACTTCGTCGCGGTCCCGCGGTAGGGGTGGCAAGAGGGGCGGTGCTGGTGGCGGCGTTGGTGGAGGCGGAGGTAGTGGGGGTGGCGTTGCGACTGGCGGTGGTGGGAGTGCAGGGCCTGGAGAGACGTCTCGTGCAGCGACCGGTGACTCCACTGCGACTGCTGGTGGTGGCGACGCCCGCGTTCGTCAGTCGCCCCCTGTACTGCCAGCCCCGGTGGGTGGGGCAGCGGCGTGGTACCGGGCCCAGCGTCAGCAGCAGCTTCAGCAGCAGCAGCAGCCCCTCTCCTCCCAGCAGCCTCCGCAGCAGCAGCGGCCGCAGCTGGCTTCGGGGTCGGGGCCGCGTCAGCCGCAGCGTGGTGCTGTTTACCCTCCCTGCGCCTATCAGGTTCTGACAGGTGCTCGCCGGGGCCACCCTTGTGGCCGCCTTCACCCCCCTGGTCAGTGTTTTGCTCAGCTCACTGACACGGTTCGTTTGGTTTACGGGGTTGGCGGTCCTGCCCCTGACTGGTTCCCCCTTGTTCAGCGTTACGGTTCCGCTCTGTGGGACATGTCTGCCGAGCAGTTAGCTGATCTGATTGGAACTCCTCATGCTATGTATGCTGTTGTTGACTCTAGTGTTTCTGACTCTGTTTACTCTGGTGTTGTTAGCTTAGGTGCTAGCCTTGCTCAGTTGCCTGTTGCTAGTGTAGGTTCTTGTGTAGACACTAGTCCAGCGGCTACCTCGGAGGACACTTCACTGTCTTTCACGCTGGACTCTGGAGCCTCGCACTGCTTCTTTCGTGACAGCACGACACTTACGCCACTTCCTGCGCCTGTCTCTGTGGCACTGGCTGATCCCACCTCGGGACCAGTCACTGCACGTCACACTACCACTTTGCCGTGTCCTGCTGCCCCCTCCGGGTCTCTCACTGGGTTTCATGTCCCCTCGTTCTCCCGGAACTTGGTGGGCGTGCGACCCCTCGTGAGTCAGCACGTGGGTGTGTGGTTTGAGCCTTCTGGGGAGACTGCAGTGTGTGTTGACGGTGACTCTTACCAGCCTCTCGCCACCTTTGCTGCTGAGCCGGGTTCCGGTCTCTACACTCTTCACACTGGCCCGCGCGCACGGCAGTGGACGCAGCAGCAGCAGCAGCAGCAGCAGCCGCAGCGGCCGCCGTCGCAGCAGCCCCTACTCCCAGTTCCTGTCCCTCCCCCTAGTCTCCTCCCTGCGTCTCACCAGGTGGTTCCGTCCCCTCAGGTTGTCGCGTCCAGTCCAGTCGCTGCGTCTTGCTCCTGTCGGTCGCTTGCCCACCCCACCGTTCTGTGGCACCACCGGATGGGACACCCTTCTCTTCCACGTCTGCGTGCTATGTCTAGTCAGCGTCTGGTCTTAGGTCTCCCGCGTGTCTTGCCGTCGCTGCCGCCGTCTCTTGCACCACCGTGCGGTCCTTGCGTCGAGGGTCGGCTGCGCGCCACCCCTCACTCCTCCTCCCTTCGTCCGGCCACCGAGCCGTTTGAGACGCTTCACCTAGATGTCTGGGGCCCCGCCTCTCGCCTTGGCCCTGAGCGTGAGCGTTTCTTTCTGGTGGTTGTTGACGACTACTCCCGCTACACCACGGTGTTCCCCCTGGCGAAGAAGTCTGAGGTGACTTCTACGCTGATCAGGTGGTTGCTCACCACCGCGGACACTCGTGGTCGTCGTGTCAGCTGTCTTCACTCTGACCGCGGGGGTGAGTTTCGCTCCGGCATTCTCGCTGGATTCTGTCGCGAGCAGGGCATTCGTCAGTCCTGGACGCTTCCAGAGTCCCCGCAGCAGAATGGGGTTGCTGAGCACCGCATAGGCTTGGTCATGGAGATCGCCCGCACCTCCCTGACTCACGCCCGTGCCCCCCATTTTCTGTGGCCTTACGCGGTTCGGTACGCCGCGCACCAGCTGAACCTCTGGCCACGCGTCTCTCGGCCAGAGGCTTCACCGACCAGTCTTTGGACCGGGTCCCCTGGTGTTGCGTCGAGGTTTCGTGTCTGGGGTTGCTTGGCTCTTGTCCGCGACACCTCTGCGGACAAGCTCTCGCCTCGCGCCGTCCCCTGTGTCTTCCTTGGTTTCCCTGAGGACTCCTCTGACTTCACCTTTTACCACCCTCCCTCTCACCGGTTCTTTGACTCCCGTGACGTCCGTTTCGAGGAGTCCACCCCGTACTTCGTCATGCACCCCGGTCGAGGTCTCCCGGTTCCTCCTCCCCCCCTCTTCCTGAC